GCAACTTTGGAGATATAAATTTCGAAACAATTTTGCGAGGGCACGAGGCCTAGCCAAGCGGGATCAGTAGCCATATCTGTGCCCGTAGACCTCTGCGGCTTGAAACCTCCTCCACAAATCAAAATAGTTTGATTTGGCCGAAATATGTTTGAATTGTTATCTTGTTTCGTTTTGTCGCTGTGTGTACATCTGACTACACTTTTTAACGTTATGACAGGACAGACCGACTGTCAACAACGTCTGACCGTGGCCGTGACGTCTCATAGACTAAGGTTAGAGTAGCTTCCCTTTGACAAAGGGCAGTTACTCTAGCGGACAGACCGATAGATTCCCGCGAAAGGCAATTAAAAACAGCTGTTGTTTTGCGTATATGTTGCTTCGCCACTGTATAAGAAACAGATTTCAGTTGGAACTATATTTGCTACTGTCACTGTCCGACTGACACATCACTTTCCCTGTGACGTAATAAATATTAAGGCGCGCATTCCAGGAAAACTCGCAGTGTTTCGGTAATGTTTGTGAGAGAGGGAAAGCGATTTTAATGCACAGAATTAAAGAATGACATTATATGATAAAGAGGTTATATTATAAACACTATGTATTTAGCTCACCAAGGCTCGCTTAATACAATGTTTAATCCTAATGCAGGATATTTACCATCCCCAAACACACTCGCGTGATAACCTCTACCAGTGGATAACATAACGTCGTGCACGGTACGAGTCAAGTATACCATTACAGTCCAGCACATAACAACATGTACTGTATCAGTAAAGTATAACATTATATACCAGTGCATAATAACATGTACTGTATCAGTAAAGTATAATATTGTATACCAGTGGATAACATAACGCTATGCACCGTACTAGTCAAGTATACGATTACAGTCCAGCACATAACAATATGCACGGCATGAGTAAGGTATAACATCATATTCAGTGTCACAACAGTCCCGTTTGTTCAAACGATAATCACTTGAAATACTGTAGAAGGGTGGGTATTGCCAAACACCGTGCATGTTAATTCACGTCAACCCTTGTGTTAACTTAAGTTAAACGATGTCATGCAGTCTGGAAGCAAACCGTTACTCAAGTCTGTATTGCAGTGTAATGCCGACACTAATTAAATTGCCGAGGTCAGGCAGGGTCTCCAGTTAATTAATAGAGTGTCCAGTGTTTTACGCAGCCTGTGGAGAAGCGTTGTTGTAAAAAACGACTACATGTATATGTCTTCCTGGTTGGCGTCAGCGGACGTACATATCCCACAGGGTGGAGAAGCACATCCTGCCATTATCTATTGTCGTGGGAGATGTCACATCCAGTGACGCAGGCTGCACCTAAACTGGCGATCACAGGAAGAAGAAGAAAACTATTTAAAAGCTGAAGAGAGAGCTGCACAATTTCAGAGGATAAATATTAGCAATGTCCTACTGAAAATCATTCTCCATTAAATAAAATGAACGTCAGTGTGCAATAGCAAAACCCTACCGAGCATCAGTGCATTAAATCTCTATTCAACAGCACTGTTCAACATTAAAGCTCCACAGAACATCAGCGTTTAACATTAATCTATTTCTTAACACCACTGTTAAACATCATGTGTGTTTGTTGTTTAACACTCAGCAATAGTCCAGTTAGAACATGGCGGTCTGTAAATAATCGAGTCTGGACCAGACAATCCAGTGATTGACATCATGAGCATCGATCCACGCAATTGGGATACGATGACATGCATCAACCAAGTCATCGAGCCTGACCGCCCGAACCCGTTAGTCGCCTCTTACGACAAGCATAGTTGCCTTTTACAGCAAGCATGGGTTGCTGAAGACCTATTCTACCCCGGATCTTCAAATATCTGTAATGCATGACGTCACGGATATTATACACATAATGCGAAAAGCAAACGTAAGGAAAATTTAGATTTATTAAAAAAAATAGACTTCAGTGCCGTAGCATATATAGAAGACGGTTTTATTTGAATCATGAAAATACAAGTTCAGGGGACAAGTTATACTTGTATAAATATTTGACCCCCCTGTCAAAACTGTACCCCATGATATTTTGGTACTTATCATTCTAAGTAATGTTATTATCCCACCAAGCGCATTATTAATTTTTAAAACTTTTCAAATTCATCCGTGAAAATATCAAGCCCCGCCACTCACCAAGTCCTCGTCATGTGACCAGATATCTTAATTTGACGAAGACAGAAAGGATGTTTTTACAGGTATGAGAAATATATTTGCAACATGAAGAATACAAACCTTGGATGAAGAAATGCATTTGCGTGAATGTTTTCCCCGTAACACGAGTATATTACGTGCGCTTCTAAAACTATAGGAAACGTGCCCAACCTCTTCCCAGCAGCTGCAGGGGGCTTGTATTCGACTAAAATAATGATCTCCTCCTACATTTGGACACCAGGTTCTCTGTCACCCTGACATTTCGATCTCCTCCTACATTTGGACACCAGGTTCTCTGTCACCCTGACATTTCGATCTCTTCCTCTATTTGGACACCAGGTTCTCTGTCACCCTGTCATTTTGATCTCTTCCTATATTGGATACCAGGGATCATTGCCGTGTCTTTCCACATGGGGTAACGACTGCCTGTGTCACCCAAACATTGAGGTGTCTTTCCACATGGGGCACTGCCTGTCTGTTGTCACCCTAACATTGCGGTGTCTTTCCACATGGGGTACTGACAGTCTGTGTCACCCTAACATTGCGGTGTCTTTCCACATGGGGTACCGGCAGTCTGTGTCACCGTAACATTGCGGTGTCTTTCCACATGGGGCACTGCCTGCCTGTGTCACCCTAACATTGCGGTGTCTTTCCACATGGGGTACCGACTGCCTGTGTCACCCGAACATTGCCGTGTCTTTCCACATGGGGTACCGACAGTCTGTGTCACCCTAACATTGCGGTGTCTTTCCACATGGGTTACCGCCTGTCTGTGTCACCCTAACATTGCGGTGTCTTTCGACATGGGGTACCGACTACCTGTGTCACCCTAACACTTCGGTGTCTTTCCACATGGGGTACCGACTACCTGTGTCACCCTAACACTTCGGTGTCTTTCGACATGGGGTACCGACTACCTGTGTCACCCTAACACTTGGGTGTCTTTCCACATGGGGTACCGACTACCTGTGTCACCCTAACACTTCGGTGTCTTTCCACATGGGTTACTGCCTGTCTGTGTCACCCTAACATTGCGGTGTCTTTCCACATGGGGTACCGACTACCTGTGTCACCCTAACACTTCGGTGTCTTTCCACATGGGGTACTGCCTGTCTGTGTCACCCTAACATTGCGGTGTCTTTCCACATGGGGTACCGACTACCTGTGTCACCCTAACATTGCGGTGTCTTTCCACATGGGGTATCGACAGTCTGTGTCACCCTAACACGTCGGTGTCTTTCCACATGGGGTACCGACTGCCTGTGTCACCCAAACATTGCGGTGTTTTTCCACATTGGGTACCGACTGCCTGTGTCACCCAAACATTGCGGTGTCTTTCCACATGGGGTACTGCCTGCCTGTGTCACCGTAACATTGCGGTGTCTTTCCATATGGGGTACTGCCTGTCTGTGTCACCCTAACATTGCGGTGTTTTTCCACATGGGGTACTGCCTGCCTGTGTCACCCGAACATTGCGGTGTCTTTCCACGTGGAGTACTGCCTGTCTGTGTCATCCTAACACGTCGGTGTCTTTCCACATGGGGTACTGCCTGCCTGTGTCACCGTAACATTGCGGTGTCTTTCCACATGGGGTACTGCCTGTCTGTGTCATCCTAACATTGCGGTGTTTTTCTACATGGGGTACTGCCTGCCTGTGTCACCCGAACATTGCGGTGTCTTTCCACATGGGGTACCGATAGTCTGTGTCACCCTAACATTGCGGTGTCTTTCCACATGGGGTACTGCCTGTCTGTTGTCACCCAAACATTGCGGTGTCTTTCCACATGGGGTACTGCCTGTCTGTGCCATCCTAACATTGCGGTGTCTTTCCACATGGGGTACTGCCTGTCTGTGTCACCCGAACATTGCGGTGTCTTTCCACATGGGGTACTGCCTGCCTGTGTCACCGTAACATTGCGGTGTCTTTCCACGTGGGGTACCGACAGTCTGTGTCACCCTAACACTTCGGTGTCTTTCCACATGGGGTACCGACAGTCTGTGTCACTCTAACATTGCGGTGTCTTTCCACATGGGGCACCGGCTGCCTGTGTCACCCTAACATTGCGGTGTCTTTCCACATGGGGTACCGACAGTCTGTGTCACCCGAACATTGCGGTGTCTTTCCACGTGGGGTACCGACAGTCTGTGTCACCCTAACACTTCGGTGTCTTTCCACATGGGGTACCGACAGTCTGTGTCACTCTAACATTGCGGTGTCTTTCCACATGGGGCACCGGCTGCCTGTGTCACCCTAACATTGCGGTGTCTTTCCACATGGGGTACCGACAGTCTGTGTCACCCGAACATTGCGGTGTCTTTCCACGTGGGGTACCGACAGTCTGTGTCACCCTAACACTTCGGTGTCTTTCCACATGGGGTACCGACAGTCTGTGTCACTCTAACATTGCGGTGTCTTTCCACATGGGGCACCGGCTGCCTGTGTCACCCTAACATTGCGGTGTCTTTCCACATGGGGTACCGACAGTCTGTGTCACCCTAACATTGCGGTGTCTTTCCACATGGGGCACCGGCTGCCTGTGTCACCCTAACATTGCGGTGTCTTTCCACATGGGGTATCGACAGTCTGTGTCACCCTAACACGTCGGTGTCTTTCCACATGGGGTACCGACAGTCTGTGTCACCCTAACATTGCGGTGTCTTTCCACATGGGGCACCGGCTGCCTGTGTCACCCTAACATTGCGGTGTCTTTCCACATTGGGTACCGCCTGTCTGTCAAAACAAGTCGTAATGGCGGAAACGGGGTAATATCCACATCAACAAAATAGTAAAACTCAAACATTGATCAACAAACAGCTACTTTTAATTAATCCAATACATTTATGTCATTCCTTCAAAGTCATGGAAAATTGTAAAGGCAGGTTTAATACTGTTCGGTAACAGTGCTGTAACATCATGATGACAACAATACACATCATTGAATTACACAACTTGTAAACGTGTTTTCGTCTATAGTCGACATCTCTGTATAAGCATGCAGCAGGAAGTCGATGAGTTGTGGATTATTACTTAATGGCTTATCAACAGTCCTACAACTAAAAGAGGGGAGACAATCCTAATACCCAAGTGAGATCAGACTAAGACGTCTTTCTGCTTTCAACAGTTGGTGGTTAAAGACCATCAGATCTAACCACAACCACCCGTTCAAGATACTAAATACCATCTACTAATAAATATCCAAATATTAATACCAAATACTGACAAATACCGAATTCTGACAAATACCAAGATTTGATAGTCTCCCATTTTCTTGAAAGAAACCCCCCTTTTGTTCTCTTGAGCAGGTGCAAATGTCTGTGAAATGTCTTTCTTAAAATAATCCGAGACGTCGCATGGACGACCTCATAACATCCACATCACCAGCACACCAACCTCGTCCACACAGACACACGCCTACAAACAAGAACGCGTTCCTGAGGAAGATAGTCTTTTGAGGAAATTCATTTCCATTTCACCTAAACCTTTTGTTCCATGAATACAGACCGATCACTCACATTATTTAACTCTGGGTGTATGATGGTAGTGACAAATGAATGCCCTCATACCACCACTGGAATCCCTTTCGTCAGAAATACTTGAAGGGCGAAACATGAAAGACACAATTGCTTCAGGATATCTGGAAGTTGACAACAATAGAAGAAACGTCAGCACCAGGATGAGACAAACACGTACAATAAAGGCCAGGTATTTACACAGTACCATATGTCGTAGCATAGATAATATGGTACAGACACTAAGACGTCACCAAACTGTATGACCGTCACCTTAGAACATAGATCGACAAATACCAAACACCAAATACCAATACATATCAAAATATTGATACTAAATACTGTCAACTGCCGAAATCTGACAAATACCAAGTTTTGTGTCCCCTGTGCTTGAAAGAAAATCTCCTTTTGTTCTCTGGAGCACGTTAATCTATGAACCAATCTGTGAAAATGTCTTGTGGAAAACATTTAAGAATGTAGGTAAAAGGTCATTTCTCTTGTACAATGGTAGTGTACGGCGATTACATACATAATATATTAGTACATTTCTCTTCACCCCCCTTTGCGGCATTTCTCAATGATATTGCTGTAGTGTAACCATATATCACAGATACAAACATACATCTGTCAACATGACTTCTGATTAAGGCAACACTAAACAATATGTAGTGGTAATAAGTGAGTGAGTGAGTGAGTATAGTTTTACGCCGCTTTTAGCAATATTCCAGCACTGTCACGGCGGGGAACACCAGAAATGGGCTTCACACATTGTACCCATGTCGGGAATCGAACCTGGGTCTTCGGCGTGACGAGCGAACGATTTAAACGCTGGGCTACCCGAGCGCCCGTAGTAGTAATAAGCATCATCATAACTCTCATAACTCTCTAATATTCAATATGAAACGTTACCGCCAGAGAACAACCAGTTTCCAACATCCGACCAAATAGAATCAATTTGGCGTGAAAGGTAAAATTGGGGTGAAAATTATATGAATGGAGAGCTGAAAATCAGTGATGACACCAGGTGTTCGCGAAAAGGGTAAGGATGTCCTGCCCTACCGGTAATACCTGCCACTCACACAATCTGCATATAAAGTATGTTTGTTGCCTGGCGCCCTACAGATAACAAGGCCTGTAAATAAATCACGAAGAGACCACAACGGCAAAACTTGGCTCCAGCTTTACATCGTTTCAGTGTCGCAAGCGCAAAGAAATCGGAATACCGACTAAACTTAAACAATGATGCGAGTGAGAAATATGATGTATAAACATTGAAGCAGAGATCAGGTCATTACTAACGAAACGCGTATATACACGTGTCGGCCTTGCTTATAACTTGGCTTATCTAACACATTTATAGCATTTAAAAGCAAAACAATCTACGTACAGTAAAACCCCATTTATCCGGACAGTATTTACGCACTGAAACCGCCTGAATGAACAAATGTCCGGATTAATGAAACGGTTTTGGAGAGTGATATCCATGTGTATATGAAGACGTTATAGACATTGTCCGGACAAACGAGGTTTCACTGTTGTTTGATAGGACTAGTCTTCTTTGGGTTCTCTAACTTTGACAACACTCATTTCGAATGCCTCATTGACTGATCGCCGGGGTTGATTATCTCCCTTTATTGCTGTCTTCTTCTTGCCTCCAAGCTGACTGCGGCGATGTTTTTTGCAGAGATACTCGAACCAATCAGCAGTCTCCGGATTCAGAACGCTTGAAAAAAAATAGGCATAAATAAAGTTTTAAAAAGGCTGAGTGAGTAATTAATGAACGTGGCATCGGCAATGTGAGCCTGAGATAAAAAATAATAAAAGGGACTAAACAACTCACCATATCGGAGTGATTTGTTTGTTCGTTTGTTGATGTTTAACGCCTCAATCAGCATATTCCAACTATGTGACAGCGGTCTGTAAATAGTCGAGTCTGGACCAGACAATCCAGTGATTGACATCATGAACATGGATCCACGCAATTGGGAAACTATGACATGCATCAACCAAGTCAGCGAACCTGACCACCCCATCCCGTTAGTCGCCTCTTACGACAAGCATAGTCGCCATTTAAGGCAAGCATTGGTTGCTGAAGACCTATTCTACCCCGGCTCTTCATGGGTAATATTGGAATTAAGGTATTTGCATTTATATCGAACTATAGCTGTCACAATGTTTCTCGGGATATTTCTGATAACGTACCTCTTGAGTCTGTCGTACAGGACGGTGACGAGGGGGACGACGTCGGCCGCGGCGGTGTTGAGCATGTCCTTGTTGAGTGGTCGTCGCGCCCAGACGTGCTGGTCCTCTCGTAGTAGACGCTGTAGACAGATGATGAGACAGCCGTTGTATTGTCACACTGTCAGTGGTAGGTAACGGTGGTGCAAACAACAAGTGAATATGATAACGACGATTTGAGAAATAAACGACGAGTGGGAGCTGTTTATCGTACAATAAAACAGGGAGTGAGTGAGTGAGTGAGTGAGTGAGTTGGGTTTAACGCCGCTTTTAACATTATTCCAGTCATATCACGGCGTGTCAGCTTAATGTGGGAGGAAAGCCCGAAATGATGCAGGTCTTAGACGTTTACCACTTCGGTGAAACCCACGAGCACGGGTATGGTGCTGACAAACCTAGAAACATAATCGGGGTGAACCGGGATTCGAACCCACAATCATAGGTTTCTGGCGTGTCCAGGGGACGCAATTCCGCACAGCGAATCGCGGCGCCTTAGACGACTGGGCCACCCGTGCCCCCTAAAACAGGGAGAATAAACCATGAGGGGCAATGTCGGACACATCCAATTTATGAACAGGGGGTTAAATGTGGTCTTTCCCGCATATTCTCACAACTTTCACGTCGATTATCCGTATCTTTTTCTCCCAAAACCGATTGTCATATCTCTCCCACTTTTGGGTGCGATCGATCGGCCATTTCGTTCATCTGCGCTGTCCAGCTACATCTATGGGGAGCAACTCACTAGCTATAGACATTTCCCTCTTAAAAATAACATCGTCCAATTTACGTCATCAAGTTGCGAGCGCATGTTCGAATCTCCAGAAATGACGTCATGCTATAACAAGGTTTTATCGTGAAATAAACCACGCTTCACCCAGGGGCGGTCGGGTAGCCTAATGGTTAAAGCGTTCGCTCGTCACGCCAAAGACCTGGGTTCGATTCCCGGCATGGGTACAATGTGTGAAGCCCATTTCTGGTGTCCCCCGCCGTGATATTGCAGGAATATCGTTAAAAGCGGCGTAAAACTATACTCACTCACTTTTCATCTGGTTTGAATACGTCCCCTGCGTCTAAACTAGATCGGCCAGCCAGGCTAGGAGACATTTTTTTATCGCAGGTGTCATCGTACCCCGACGGCATCTGGCGTTGCTCATGATATCAACCACTGGTTTGTTTTGCCAAGCTGTTTGTTTTTCACAGCTGGAATATTGTTTAGAGTGGCGCTAAACAACTAACGCTCCGAAGGTAAAACGTGTATCAATTTGTAAACCCCACGGTAGTCTGTGCACATATATACCACGATATGCAGGTTTCTTTTTATCCACAAGACACAGTTGTATATCATACATCAAACGTTCGTTCATTCTAAAAAACATGCATTACTACACACATACCTCAAGTGATGGCGAGGGTGTATATCCGACGATGTCATATTTAGCAAATAAGGAGCTTTTGTTGATCATCCTAGGCGGGAGTCCATGCTCCTCCATTTGAACTCGTTGCGCCACCTAGCGAGAGAAACGGATACGGGTAACTGGTTAGGATACACTTGTTTTTGTACACTCGTGCGTAGGGTCATTAACCCTCAACTCATTAAAATCAGATCTTAGTACTCGCTACCGCAAAACAAAGATCTGAGGACATCCCATTAGGGGTCACGTCAGAACGACCTTTCATCTGATCAATCAGAGCGTCGCTTACTAGATCATGAAAGTGACAGTCGGAATGTGATTTCATTTCATGCAACGTCGAAAACCTTAACATGGGGTATTCCGGGCGATAGTTACAGGCTAAACGACTGAATCCATAAAATCTAGACCATCTATTAGCCATTCCAGAATGCTCTTTTGTTCAGGTTTCAACTTTTTAATCGACTATTTGTCAAAATATATTTCGAAGCGTAGTCGCCAATTTGAAATTAGTGCCGTAAAGCACGAGAAAGCTGGATTCTGATTGGCTAATGTCGACTTCTTGTCAGTCATTCCATTGGTCGGTCAAAGTTCGCGAAAGGTCGGTCTGACGTGACCCGTAATGGGATGTCCTCAGATCTTTGTTTAGCAGTAGCGATCACTAAGATCTGATTTTAATGTGATTGATTAACCCTCAGTAATACTGTTTTTCTGTATGTGTAGGGTTTGGTCAGCTGTGTGGACGTACCTGCGTGTCGAAGACGTTGCTCAGAGTCACACCGAATCCACGATGGAGGGCCGCGGCGTCGGCAGCACAGTCGTGTATAACCTGAGGAACACGGTACATACTTCTGGCTGAAGTTGATCAACATTAGCAATGACGAAAACGACAGCGACATGTGGTGACAACAGCCACATCTTCCCGGGGCAAGAGGGGTCTACTGGCCATAAAAGTCCAGTTTCCATCCTTGCCGATCTAGGATGGAATTCTGGAGTTACACGTTGGCTGGACTAACGAGTCTCTGCGTAGTCCAATCAAAATCGCGTAACGAGCTCGACATCTGGTTCGTGAACAACATGGATTTCAACGTGCAGATTTCTGTCGACTGAAGGATTTGCAAAGCATGTGTACCGCCAACTGGGCGTCGACAGATACTTTGCGCATCTTTTCATGTTTTTAATCAAGGTGCGTGAGTTGATGCACTTCGCGAGGTAAAGCCCGTTTTATTACAATATAGATCTTGACTTTCGATCAGATGGTCTTGACTGGACGACGCCATTTTGTTTGAAACAATTGCAAGTGACAGAAGAGGTGGAATGTTATTTGTCAATGGGAGGGACATAGAAAGGACATAACTCGTAATAGCCACCGGTGGCGCTACGATAGAGCCTGGAAATTCCAGCCTAGTTCGGCAAGGGTGACAACTGGACTTTGATAGTCAGTTAACGCCCTTGCATCGGGAAGATGCAACAGCCATTGCATGGAACACCATATACGCTGAGAAGGAATCAAGATTTCTTAAGTGTAGGATGCTAAGGGATTCGGTTTCCAGATCTGGAATATTTTGTCGGTTTAGTCCCTACCGTCAGTCTTATAAATTCAACTGTTTGAAATCTGAAACTTCAATACTGCGACCGTCTCATCACAACAATCTATTTGTTATTGGATTTGGGTGATTGGTGTTATTTAAAAGTGAATGGCATAGGATTTGGGTGATTGGTGTTCTTTGAAAGTGAGTGGTATAGGATTTGGGTGATTAGTGTTATTTAAAATGACTGGTATAGGATTTGGGTGATTCGTGTTCTTTGAAAGTGAGTGGTATAGGATTTGGGTGATTGGTGTTATTTAAAAGTGAGTGATATAGGATTTGGGTGATTGGTGTTATTTAAAAGTGACTGGTATAGGATTTGGGCTGTGACAAGTCGTCACTATGTACACTCGTGACCGAAGAGTAGTGCTGAAATAACATCAGGGGTTTATCTTTCTGTGAAAGTAAACTAATTTCTTTTCGCAAACACATGGTGTCATCACTGATTTTCAGTGGTCCATTCACATAATGTTCCAACTATTTTGCCCTTGCGCATCATGCAATCTGTTTTGGCGGATAATCAAGACTTATTAATTATTAATCTTGCATTGGCGTTTTGTTTCAGTTTGAACTGATTTCTTTGGAACTTACCCAATTTCTGTGATATTATGCTATATTGTTAATATGGGATTGAAGTACGTGTTCGAGATTGAACTTTTTTATTTGAAACTGAACTAATTGTGGGAAATTGAACTGTTGTCTTTGGAATTGAACACATTCTGCACTAATTTATCTGTAGATTACACTATTTCCACTGAGACTGAACTGATGTCTTTCTGACGGAACTTATTTCATTGAGATTGAGTGTTTACTAGCCACAGATAAGAGTGAGTGAGTGAGTGAGTGGTATTTAACGTCGCTTTAAACAGTATTCCAGTTATATCACGGCGTGTCAGCTTAATGTGGGAGGAAAGCCCGACGTGATGCAGGTCCCAGACGTTTTCAACTTAGGTGAAACCCACAAGCACGGGTATGGTGCTGACAAACCTAGAAACATAATTCGGGCGAACCAGGATTCGATCCCCATCATGATAGGTTTCCGGCGTGCTCAAAGGACGCAACTCTGCACAGCGAATAGCTTCCCCCCCCCCCCCCCCCCTGCCCCCTCCCTCCCACACACAGAGGTAAGAAGACTAATGTTGTGGCAACAAGTGGTTGAGTGGTTCGCCGGATGATGTCAGGCTGTGTTGTCATCACCTTGATGACGTCAGTACTCTGGAACAGTCTGACCAGGCCCCCGTCCAGGATAATGTTCTTGTCTCGTCTCACGTCGAAGGCGTACACGTCACCCTGCAGCGTTGCCACGGCAACCAGATAAATGGTACCTATGAAAGAAAATGATATCACATATTTGAGAAGAAATGGTACAAATAGATTGCGTGATTCAATTAATATTTGTTCAAATGAACGCTATATATAAACTGAAACGTTTCAAATACTATACTTGAAAATTTGAAGAAAGTTCATGTGCAAAAATAGAGTGAGTGAGTGAGTTTGGTTTAACGCCGCTTTGAACAGTATTTCAGTTATATCACAGCCTGTCAGCTGTAGATGTAGAAGGAAAGCCAGAAGTGAAACAGGTCATAAACGTTTACCACTTTGAAACCCTAGTGCACGGGTATAGTGCTGACAAAACTAGAAACATAATCGGGGCGAAGCTGGATTCGAACCCACGATCGTACGATTATTCCGTGCCCACGAAGAATCTCATTAATTAAAGCGAATACGCCCTGCCTAATGTATACAGTAAACATAGTAAATAAAAAATAAAGACCTGATAAAACGAACTTGGTCAAAACAGAAAGTATGTTGTATCGAAGTTAACCGTACAAAATCCAAACTCCCTTCAAAGTTCGAGTTTATGCAAGTTTAAATTACTGTAAAAAGGTTCATCGGAATTTGTTAAATACAAAGAATATTATTATTACGTTTATGTCAGTCATTCTGATGAAAATGGACGTGACTATATATAGGTCCCGCAGTTACCTTTACCCCCAGCGTTAGCCCCCTTGCAGCTGACGCCGACCACGGGGGATGAGACGAGGATGTCGTGCACTGCCTTCTCGGACGCCTGCGCAGATGACACAAGGTGGATCCGCGGCATCTTGGCGTCAGGGCGTCACAGCACGTCCTGGGGGAGGTGACAAGACAGTGTCAAAATATCAGGGAGAGACTTCGATGAAAGGGAAGGTGAAAAAACGCCGCTGTGTTATTTGTGATGAATTCCAGCTCCAACACCATAAGTATCATGTTCAGCATATGTCAGTATACCACATGAACCATGCTCACGGGGATGTAGTTGACAACTTTTTCAGTAATTGCTGAGAAAAATAACAATTGTTCCATTTTCTCATTGTTTGCGAATATGCCCATAGCAACGTGACGTGAACATGACGTCATCCATTTTTCATATCACGATTGTATGTGACGTCGTTTCAACATTCGAACAATTCAGCTGTCTAAACCTGATATCAGGAAACCTACATTTTTCTATATTTTCTCAAAAGAAAGGATTATGGGTGATGTGAAGTCAAGCCTACTCGCAGAATTACATATTATCTGTCCATGGTGAATTAATGTTGAAACATCCTCGCCAAGGCTCGGAATCCGTTATCCGTAATTCCTCGTTGCTCGTAAGTTATTCCCCCAAATGATATCTTATCATGAATGTTACATACATTTTATTAAAGTACCCCTCGTAAGTAGAGATCCCACACGAATGTGTTTATTCCTGCTGGCGCCCGCCATACACCCGGAAGAACACCCATTCTCTATTTTCATATACCCCTAACCTCCATCAAACTTTGGTACATATCTCCATGCGATGTTGTTCTCATTTTGACATTGAAGGTCTATGATACACCGCCGATACACAAAACCATGCTGGGTTATAACTTGTGATTGCTGTGCAGAGTTGCTTCCCTTATGCGTACCAGGAACTTATGCCTTTGAGTTCGAATCCTAGATTCACCCAGATTATGTTTGTTGGCGTATTACCTGTGCTGGCGAACGGCTAACACCTGCATAACTTCAGGTTTTCCTCTCCTATCAGGCAGACGAGTATACTGACATGGTGATTTGAAGCAATTGACAAGGAAGTACAAAACATATAATAAGATAATCCATTTCTGTATTTCAATAGGGTGATGAGATGGTGATATGAATGTTAATCTGTTAACCTTTCTAGCCCATCAAAGGCAGCTGAGATAATAATAATAATAATAATAATAACAACAACAACAACAACAACAACAACCAACCAACAAACCAACAAACAAACAAACAAACAAACAAATAAATAAATAAATAAATAAATAAAACATTATCACATGAAAATATACAGAAACAATACGCTCTATGTACAGTGAAATCCCGTTAATACGGACAGTAGTGTTCCAGGTGAAATCGTCCCGATAAATCTATGGTTCGATCCCCGGCCGCGTTTTACCAAAATGCGTTAAAAGATTGTAGTTGTTGCTACCCTGCCTGACGCTCAGCATTAAGGGGATAAAACAACGACTGGTCGGCTCGGAGTCAGTACACTGTGTCTGAATGCGGTATCCATGTTCAACACACACACACACGCACGCACGCACGTACGCACACACGCACACACACACACACACACACACACACGTTTAGCTAGTTATTAAAGTATCTTTAAAAATATAATAAAAGGGAGCCAAGAGGCATTGTCTTGAAACTGCAGTCATCTAGACTTGTCAAATATTATAGACCTGCATGAGCTGTGTTGAATACATTGGTTCCAGTGTCTGTATGACAGACTAAGCCACACACAGCCACAGCCACTCACACACACACACGTCGCTATGTAAGAGCATTAAAGCTTGAACGTTACGTTGAACCCCATTTCACCCCACCTACACCCTTACATAAGCAGACACTCCCAGTAGTTATCGCCCGGAAGGTGTGGACTAATGAGGGTCGTCTATACGATTTTTAGATTGTTTACATGCACACTTGGGTAACGTGCGACATCTAATGTTCTCTAGTACAGAAAACCTGCCTTTAGAGGATCGTTATAAGAGTGATAGGCTATGATAAATAACACCTTCTCAGGCGCGTAGTGTAACCTAGCATCGACCAAACGCAACACAAGTACACATGAAAGATAACGAGGCAGGCTCATATTACTCCACCTTTGTTCTTGAAAATAAATGAGGCTAGCAGAAAGTATCTATATTTTCACCTGTACATTATAGTTATAATTGATGATTACACAAAAGTGGTAAGAACGTTTTAGAAAGATCTTTAATCGTTTTTGGAGAAAAGAACTTAAAATATTGCGAGCAGCGCTTTTCGTATCAGAAAAGACTATAGTACATGGAAAAAGAGACAACAGGCTGGCCTATTTGCGCCCAACAGACTGCTATATTTAGCTTCTTAATCTCCCACCTTGCCTAGCAATGTCTGGCCAACTCTTTGTTGGGGCTTAGTGACTGTAATAAAATCAAAGTCTAAAATCAATAATAAGTTAGCGTTCATACTCCACTGGTAACTACATACCAACCAAGAAATACAAAAATAGTATCTTTTCGAAAACTATCATTGCAGATTAAGACGTCTCTCCCTCTACTATCAGGGAGAAAATTATCTAAATATAAGCAAAAATAATTTTATTTTATAATTATAAAACTTTTAATATAATTAAACACACTTCAAACAATCAACCAGACTAAAGTACTATTTCCTGTGAGGTGGGCTGAGGTGAAATGGAGTTTAACGTCGCGTCCAAGATTATTGCACTTATATAGCGACGTGCATGCACGTGTATGTGTGTGTGTGTGTGTGGCTGCTTGTACTAGTCCGGACTGATGCCGATTTATAGTGCTAGCACACTTAGATACCATGCCGCAGTTTAACATGAATACCCCACTCAGACACAGTATACTGACTCCGAGCCGACCAGTCCTTGTTTTTGCCCCTTAATGCCGAGCGCCAGACAGGGTAACAACAAGTACCATCTTTTAACGTATTTTGGTATGACGCGGCTGGGGATCGAACCCCGGACCTCCCGCTCTCCGGGCGGACACTCTACCAATAGACCACGGAGGCGGTCTACTATTTGTATGTCAGAGTGACATGTAGACTTTGTGGTGTATAAATTTACCATGAGGACTTTGATTAACGCCTTGTCCGAGGTTGCAGCCACTATGTCGACCATTTTGCCAATATCGACCAGTGAAGAGTGTAAACAAACCCAGTACATAAATATTACATGAGCAAGATTACCGCATGTGGTGGTCATTATTGACTATTTATAAGCTAAGCTACCTAACTGGACAGCGGGGTGCGACCACATACAGATCGTATTCTCCCGATATATATACTTATAGATATGTAAATCAATACTCGATGCACAGACATCAATAATAAATGTTGTACGCTACAGGTCAGACTTCGGAGATCATTGGTAATGCATTAACACCTGTCGTGTCACCTAATACCTCGACATATCGTATAGTCGGTAGTGAGGGTGTATGGTGGGTATATCTGCTATAATGTCGTCTCCTACAATTGATTCATAGCACAGCGGGCTCTTTATACAGTTAATGGTAGCTATTATGGACAGGCTGTTTACTTACAGGTGTTGAAGATTCTTCTCAAGCGTCGCTGGTCGTTATGGTATCGATGTTTATTGCCTCATTGACAGGAGAGGTTAAAGAAGGGAGATAATCACCGTCACCGACCCGGGTGCGTGTACAGTCTTGTTTCTCGGGTGTCCATTACTGTGGGGGCTATTGTTATAACGGTTATGAGATTTCTTACTGCTGTTTTGTTGCTGTAATTTAACGATAGGCTTATACGCTTTTCCTGATTTATATTTCGTTTATTTTTTCCAAATATCGCCTATCAAAATTCGTAACGGGTTGCTATTTTGCAAAAAAATTATCAATAAATAGGATATGTATGAAGGATAAAAGAGCATCCCCTTTAGAGTTGTTGATGAGACGATAACATACATTATGTGTGGACTGTGACCAATTCGTACGGCACTCTAGGGTAGGAATTCATCGTGCAATTACTTCCCTTAGTTGTACCAGGATAAACTGATCGTTGGTTCGAATACCAAATTTGCGGCGTTGATGATCCTTTGTATGTTTAGCTGGAAATGTGTGTATGTTCATTCGTCGCCACTTGACCCTATCCGTAGCCGGCTTGTCATGGAAAGACACGAGTTGGTCACGAATGCTAACAACTTTATACATATACATTATACATTATACATAATACATTATAGGTCTGTATAAGATAAATCTATAAAATACAAGAAAAATCCATGGTATAACATTTTATTTATGTCTGTATATAATCCCATATATCCAATCTAAGAATGACGAAACACGTGTATATACATCCGGGAAACCAGGCTTCCGGCACGTGGTACTGCCCCATGACGTCACGCCTGCTAGTGTATATCGTCCGTGTTTGAAACACACAAGAGGTCCGCCAGAATCTCCCTGGAGGAGAAAATCAAAGCGTTGTGTTATAACGATACACATAGGTGTAAAGATAAATTCACTTTCATGCAACGAAAAGTAATAAAATACACAGCTAAAGTATGATGCAATCATTTAAATCAGGGTACAATTGTGCACTAAAAACTGATAAAACTATGACGGAATATTGACTAATGATAAACGGAAGGCCTCAAAGCAGAGATCAAGGATTATACTCGTGTCAATCTCGGATTCAAACCCACTAATTGGCCCTGGGCCGACAAAGGGACGCTACTCAGCACAGCAAGAAAAATGGGACCTTCGTTGTCCTGGCTGCATCATGAGGTATTGACAAATGTCTACAAACTCACCTTGCACGCGCCTCTTATTCCATTCCCGGCACAGATATTTTCTTCCTTAATGACCCGCCATGACTGATTACAGGCGGCGACAGGGACGATATCCACCTGTAGGTGGCGCAGTATCCGCGAGTCCCCAGTATCTGCAGGACCAACATGGGAGTGACGTGATACACATGTCTGTGTACAGAATCATCCACGCAATTCCGAATGTAGCCAAATATCTAAAATAGTGTCGGCTAAACATGAACTTTGTGCTGCATACAAACAATGTCGTATAACAAGAAAAAAGTTAATTAAGTATTGGAAATAACGAACAAAAGTGATGTTATTGTCTGATGTCTTTTGGATTTCCATTCTATTATGATAAATATCCTGGAGCAATTTGCCATCATATATTTCCTATCGGAAAACTCTGGTGGCGAATAGGTCCAGGATATTAATCATTATAGAACACATACGTACAGGTCTGGGTAATACAGAATAGCTGCTGATTTATTATGACGCAGAGAGAACCTTTGATTGTCAGAATTTCGACTAATTCATTAGTACGTATTAATAAGGAAGTATTGCTGAAGTTGAAACTTGCATCACTTCGAGTGAGGTATTATATTTAAGAAATAAACGACGAGTGGGAGTTGTTTATCGTACAATAAAATGGGAGTTGTTTATCGTACAATAAAACACTGCATGGAGAATAAAACATGAGGGGCGAAGCAGTGTTTTATAGTATGATAAACAAAGACCACGAGTCGTTTATATCAACATTATGTACAGCCTCTTTGGATGATGTTGATAAAATGTACAAGCTTTAAAATTATTAACACCTATTTAAATAATGATGACTCCCTGAATAGAATCCGACCTCGGCAACGTCGGACATGTCCATTTTATTCACAAGTGGGTAAATCCCGCATATTCTCACAATCCTCACGTCGATAATCTGTACCTTTTCTCCAAATACTGATTGTCCTATCTCTCCCACTATTGAATGCGATCGTTCGGCCATCTCGTTTATCTGCGTAACCTAGCTACATCTATAGGGAAAAACTAATAGGCACTCCCCAATCAAAAATAACGTCGTCAAACATACGACGTCATCAAGTTGCGAGCGCATGTTTGAATCTCATGAAATGACGACATGGTAGAACAATGTTTTATTGTGAAATAAACCACGCTTCCTTCTTTATTGTTCTTTGCGATTTATCGCGTAGCTATCTTATATTTCGAGATAAATGGAGTGACCTCATTTGCATATGACATGACGTACTATATACACATAATTGTGTTATGGTAGCTAAACATACGTGTTGTAGAGAGTTACATCCTCTAGTGTACGCTAGCGCAAAGCGTTGAATGATGCGCCTTGAGAACATGACACAAGGGACGTGACCTACATCTTGAGAACATGACACAAGGGGCGTGACCTACATCTTGAGAACATGACACAAGGGGCGTGACCTACATCTTGAGAACATGACACAAGGGACCAGACTTACTTCTTGTAAATCCCCATCCAGTGACGTAGCACCGGTCAGACTTATTGAACACGGAATCGTGGCTAGGGAGACAGATTGTCCGGATGTAGTGTCCACTGGTGTCCACTGGACGGTTAAGCTTTATCAAGGCGATGTCATACGGATTACCAAACCCGAGGTCGAACTTAGAATGCTGCAACAGAGGGTGAGTGAGTGGGTTTGACGCTGTTGTAAGCAGCATTTTGGCATGTCACGAATCACATTATCGATCCCTGGATTGTCTGGACCAGACTCGATTTTTTACAGACCGCCGTCACAGAACCGGAATACTGCCGCGAGACAATGGACAAACAAACACACACTGTAGAATTTAAACTTCAAAAGTATCAGTCTCGTTTCCATCCAATTGTCGATTGTCTAGAAGTTTGTCCACTGGGTGGGTGCTACCAAAAGTGCATGCTGGACATGCTTTCCCCTTTCGCGAACACCTGGTGTCATCACCGGTTTTCAGGGGTTATTCATATAATTTCCCCCGCTAGTTTTACCTTTACGCCAAATGGAATCTGTTTCGGCGGAGAATCAAGACTGGTTGTTCTTGTGCACTAACGTTTCATGTTATCCTTCAGAAAGGCGAGACCCGTGAAGATCCGGGGTAGAATAGGTCTTCAGCAACCCATACTTGCCGTAAAAGGCGACTAACGGGATCGGGTGGTCAGGCTCGCTGACTTGGTCGATACATGTCATCGATTCCAATTGCGTGGATCGATGCTCATGATGTCAATCACTGGTTTGTCTGGTCCAGACTCGATTATTTTACAGACGATCGCCATATAGCTGGAATATTGCTGTGTGCGGCGTTAAATAACGAACAAACAAAAGAAAACAAATCAGAAAGGCGATCATCGGAATGAAGAACCTAAAAAGCCAGTTTCAATTAATAGAATCTTACTTGAAAAGAACACGTTTTTTCAGATGTTTTCAAACAATTTCAATCTCAGCAAACGTTGAAGTATTGTGTCACCTTGATGACCTGGCTAATACGTCGGTACTGCTCGTGTCCGGTCTTCCTAGACTTGTGGTGCTGACCCAGAATGACCGTCATCCTGCGTGGGGAGTACCTGAAGTACCAGACAAAGAACCCATTTTTACACGTTGTTAATATCGTTGCAACAGAAAGACCATACCACGTTTCATATTTCAAATACACTTATTATATCATCTACGTGTTTATAACTTGTCATGTGTTTATATGTGTTTGATAAAAGAATATTGTGTTAATCAACAATGCGTTAGTATAATGTTCGTGTAGAAAGTCTGTATGTAACTATTTGGTCCCGAATCATGGTTTGTGGCAGCCTGCTAGGAAATAATAAATCATTCCCCTTTAAGCGGCGCCATGGTTGGTATGTTGGTGTTATAAAACAGAGGTTCACGTGTTGTACAATAACGATTTCATTTGAAATTGTAGTCTGAGTGGCCTTTGAAACAAATTATTCATTCAGATAATGAAATAGTTTGTTTTTAATCTCTCTTGGTTGATGTACGGCCAAGTGTCCACAATGTATTAATGGGCACAGGGTTGCGCAGCGACTTATAAAAAGCGGAAACTCGCTGTGATTGGTTGATTCTTTTAGCCGTGAAGTCCACAGTCACCCAGCAACATACGCTGGTGTCCTTTAGCACCATGTTCGTGTTCTTGGGTTGAACCACAATAGACAGTCACCGGACTTTCCTCTCAAATTAAACAAAACTACTTTCAAAATCGGCGAATTCAATGCACTGACCACGTATTATGACATATATAAGGCGATATGCTGACAACTAGATATATGTGGATGCTGTCAAATAGATACATACGGATGTACTTACCTCCTGAAACAATGAGCGGCTGTGACGACCCAGCGGCGGTTGATGAGGGACCCCCCACAGAAGTGTCTCCCCCGCGACTCCAGCGCCACCTGCCACGGCCACTCCCCTATCACAGCTGGGTCTCCACCCACGACTCGGGCCACTCGTCCCCACTTCCCTTTCTGTAGTCGGGGGATGAATCCGCAGTCCGAGAATCCTGGAACTATAGACAGGGGGAGATCCGGGGATCACAGATATTATTCCCCTTATATAAAGATATAGTGAGTGAGTGAGTATGGTTTTACGCCGCTTTTAGCAATATTCCAGCAATATCACGGCGGGGGACACCAGAAATGGGCTTCACACATTGTGCCCATCTCGGGTATCGAACCCGGGTCTTCGGAGTGACGAACTAACGCTTTAACCACTAGGCTACCCGACCGCCCCATATAAAGATATACGTTATCGTGTCTACTCTCATTTAAGGTGTATCTAGAGGACAGAATTGCCTTCTTTTCGTTCCGCTAAATTTTAACGTGTACATATGACTGAATAATAACACAATATGGGCAAGTGTGACACTTTCGAATTCGAAAGTGGAAAGGAATTAGCCTGTGTTGTGATTCGAAAGTAGAAACAAATTAGCCATTGTTAAAGGTCTGAAAACAGAAAAACTCATTTCAAAACATCCAACGCCTTTTCAAAGAATTTTCTCATTTGTTATCGTCATCCGATTACAACCAACGGCTCTATATGTCATCCGATTAAAGTTATAGGCACATGTCGGGTAAAAGAAAGTGTACACATTTATTTGACCATAAATTACAACTATTATCCAAACGGTTTTAGGTTGAAAATAGTCGCGGAAACACTGCAAACTTAAGGTCTCAAACACAACTATTGTACCCGTATCATATACATCACCATCGAATAACCATTTCGTGTTTGTTTTATTTTTAATACCATCAAACATGAGTGCACACTTTCTTTAGCAAGTCAGTTTAAATTGCAAAGCGGCCCTTTCACTGCGTCTACAATGCTTTAATTCGCCATTAGGCAATACCTTTTGTTAGCAGGTTAATATATTTTCTAAGCATCTTTAAACTAATGTGTTTAGCGGGACTAGAAGTCAAAACTATAAATAATGACAGCCAAGCAAAGCACATGCACAAGCATATTTCCAAACCTTCCTTTCCACTATCCTTCCCATCAGCAGCAGCATCGTCGTCGTCATCGTCGTCGTCGCCCACCGTGTCGTTCCGGGGGAAGGGTAAGCAGCAGACGTCGCCCCGCCCACAGTATCGGTCCCAACCGAACACCCACCCCCGACACCGGCGCAAAGCCACACACTCACCACCGCCTTGTGGACAACTTGAGAACGGCAGGTGCCCCTCGACTATACAGGGAGAACATAACATTGTCACAATACAGATGGTAAACAGATCGTTTTCATGTTCCACTTGTTGTAGAGTAGTAGTGCCTGAACTAGGTGTAAGGCCACGATAAACAATATTTCAGAGAAAAAAAGTAACGTAAATCATTGTGAAACGAGCACCTGTATATCGCTGACAAACCAATTGTCATAATCGGGGCAAGTATGGGCCCGATCAGCGGATCCTGGATTAATTAAGAACCGCAACAGAGCCCAAACACGTGCCCTAAACCACAAAGTTGGAGAAGGTCTATATGACAAAAAAAAACAATAACTGTAAAAATCACGTTTCGTTATGGTCTAACATGTCGTGGAGAGAATATCAAGAAAAATATTTATCTCATACTGTCAAAAGTATGACGAACTTCACAACTGAAAAAAATCATCCCTCGTGCGAATGTCTAAGAAAATATGCATGCCGTGTTGAAGGATATCCTGTCAGCTTGCTGACGGGGTCAACCCTTTGGTCATGTGGACAAGGCGTCAGACCTCGGATTAGAAGGTCCATGGTTCGAATCCCTCCTGGAGACTAGGAAGGTTTGCGGCCGCTACAATACTAAAATCAGCATCAGTGCTGTCGTGCCGGTAGTTGCTGATATCGTCGTCATTACAGTATCTTCCAGTCGGGGGTTCGAATCCTGAGTCGACAAAATAATGCTCCCTGGAGTGTCAGCATCGTACACATGCTCGTGTGTTGAAATTGGTAAACGTCTACGACCTGAGTTACTTTGACCGTTCCTTCCATGGTAACATTGACCGTCTTGACATACCTGAATTCCATGTTGAGCGCCACTGAAGCTCAGTCACATTATGGGTAAGAGTATTATAGCATATCGTTAGTATATTACATTCTAACTCAAAGTGACACATCGTAATATGTCGAAATAGAGCTCACTTCTGTGTTAGATATTATTGCTTAATTTTTAAATGATGTGTTACTAGACAGATTCAATATCCAGGATATATACGGGATATATGTGTGCTCCCTGTTATACTTCTTCACTTGGTAATGTTCTTCAGTTCCATATTTTCAAATTATGTTGATAAATATATATGTGGTCGAATGAGAAATCAATCAACAGCCTTTCGGGATTATTTACAATTCGTTATTTTCTTACTCGAATACGCATCATCATCATCATCATCGTTGTGGATTTCATAGACGAAAAAATGTAAGCCTGATGCCTTCAAAAATTTCAGAATGCAACCGAATTACGTAAACGCTCTCTTATGAATACTGTCGCGGAATGGTTGCTCTTGATGTGGAACAATGACACCAAATTTACACAAAGTTTACTTTCACATGAACACATTTTATACCCAAACAATAAAATGTTTTAAGATCACTTTCAAACCTAATAAAATGATTCAATATCACTTATTAAAAAACACAAACTAAAAACAAAAGTATTCGTGTTTTACGTCAACTCATAAAAATATTTACAGAAAAAAACGAATTTTAGAAATACACAATGATAAATAATAATAGTTACCTTGTATGAACACAATAAGTATCACTCCGATGACAATGAACATTTTCTCTGAACAATATGACGTTTCACGCTGACTCCTAACACACACTCATCCTCCGTAATGTTACATGTGTTTATAAATTATGAAATATGATGTCGGGAATTAAACACGCGTCATTAAATATGAAGAGGACACAACACGTTTCTCAGCAGGTTCTCAGCTGACGACAGTGCATCTGAGCAGGCCGCGTGCTGTTTATCTAAACACATAGATTATGATAAACACAGACCCAAGAAAAAACACACCATGTAATCCACCATACATGGACAAAAGGCTTTGAAATCTAAACGACCGCAAGACGGATGGCGAGATTCAGAGGTGAAACTTGAAAATGTGTTTGATACTGAAGGTTGATAGGTGTATATCACTAAAACTATTCTTTGACAGGATAAGTGATCTATTGTTTTTTGCAAAATATATCTTGAATCAAACATTGTGGTTTTTGTTAAAGGTAAACTGTCATTATCTTGTGTTGTGCTCTGCCTGTCGTGATGTTGCAAACGGAAAATATATGTTTGATCATTTTTAAATTACCATTAAATGAATATATTCTGGTGACGATTTAAAGTTTAAATCTTGCTTAAAGGCCCACACTGTAGTGTAGGCTTGAGTAATACATCAATCGGTTCAACGTACCCTCACATGTTTTAATGGGCAGGCTGGATACGTACAGATTGTCAACCAAAAAAGCAAGGTTTGTTGAAGTCGTTCAAAGTATACTTAATTTGCCTGCAAACTCAAAAGTATGAATGATCACCTTGATTAGACACAGGCAGTGATTCAGTTTCTCACATGGCCCACATTACGGTGTCTAGTTCCAGGATGTATCTGCGTTCCTGGCTATGGAATATACATGTAGTCCAATTCCACGATGGAAATCTCTCAAATGATTACATACAAGATTTACAATGAAGAAATAAATAAATGTATTTTGTAATAACCCCTTATTTATCATACTTTATTTTTCAGAAGGAGACAAGACCAACGTTCTCCTCTTTCTGTAAAGTCAGTTGTTATGGAGGTATGATAGAATGATACGTTTCCCTACCTTTTGAAACATGCTTCAACCGTATTGGTGTACAAACAAATAAATATTATTTATTTCTTGATGTCAAGTGTCTTTTATGTTCAATGCATTATTATTAGGTACATGACTGGTTATTATTGACTTGTTTCATTTGATATGTGTAGTAGTACGAACGAAAAAGAAAATGATACAGGTGAACGTTTGTGTTATCCCAAAATAACTTCAAAGGATATGTACTAATTGGACAGGTATTCGGCTGTACAAAAGTTTGATGAATGACAAATCAGGGTCACGTTTCATCTCAACAACTATGTAGTTCATATGATAAAATGTAATATCAATGGTCAGTTTCAAAGATGCATATGAAGTAATTATATACAGTTATTTTCCTCACTAATGCATAGAGAGAAAGTCCTTGAGATATGCGGACAGTTGACATTTGACATGAATGCATTGTGACCTACATGGTCCCTGTCAGTGGCTGTGCGAGCATTCAAATCGCCACGAGGAACGTTATCACATCGCCACCAATACCTTACAATACACCAAGAATGTCCTGTCATCATGCAATATTGTTTTTACTCTCTGTTCCAACATAGTCATACCATTTCAACTTCTGAGGGTGAATGTACACTGTGGCATATAAAGTGGTGTAAGATCAAGTAGTGACTTGTCAAATAGTGGTTGAACTGTATATTTCCAGTAGATAACTGCAACTGAACATAGAGTAGGACTTTTGCACTTTTCATATGTAAGTGCTTCTTGCACTACACATGACACCAATTATCTACATAAAATTTTGATGTTTTAATTACTATAATGACTGAAATCACAGCAATCTTTGATAACAGATACTTCCGCTTATTGGGGTACCTTTGGTATCCTGTTTGATGCTTGGGACCCGACACTAGACGACTAACGGATCGGGCTGTCAGGCTAGAGGACGTGGTTGATTGCATGTCATGGTATTCAAACCGTGGATCTAAGCTCATGATGTCATCACCCGGATTGTCTTACAACTGGCATATTGCTGAGTGCGGCGTTAAACAACAAACAAACGACTAAAATTAATAACCTCTATAGCGAGTAATCTCATTTTTGAGATATCTGCAGTCATCAAGTGACTCGGTATTCTCTTTTGATAATGGAAAAAATTTCTAACAGCACTGTCTTTAAGTTTTAAAAGGGCTAACTCCTATCCAGGCGTCAACGGATGCTTCTTCCTTTGCCATTGTGAAGAGGTGGGCAGGAGAGTTCAAGAAGGGGAGGGATGATCCAAGATTAGGAAGTCCTTCAACTGCTACCATCAACGAAACTGTTGATAAAATACATGATGTGATTATAGATGATCGACGACCCACCACACGTCACATTGCCAATGCAGTAGGCATCTGTCAGGAATGAGTTGAAAACATTTTGAGGAACGAACTGGACATGACAAAGGAATCAGCACGCTGGGTTCGCAAGAATCTATTCGGAACCGCTCGAGGCTCATCATCTCTCGTGAGAAGTTGCGCCGGTTTGAAGCAGATCCAGGTGAATTTGTTAAACGATTTGTAACCATGGATGAGTCTTAGGTTCACCACAAACAGCCAGAACCATTTCACATATCCTCCCCCTCCTCCGAAGAAAGCGAAGTCTGTTCCAATGAGATGGCTTCGGTTTTCTGGGACTCTGAAAGGAATCCAACTGGTCGACTTCAGAAAGGTCAGACCATTAATGGACAATATTATTCTGATCAGCTCAGGCAAATGAGGATGACGTCAGTTCTGCTCTGGGGGAATTTGACACCACCAGGAGAAACCCTTCTACACCGATGACAGAAGTATGTGGGCCTCGGAGGGGAGTATGTCCTAAACTAATTAGCAGTCAACTTCATCAACGCAGTCTATCATAATTTGGCTCAGAACTTTTCAGCCACCCGTCGTATGTATATTCCCACACAAGCATGTGATTATATGGTAACGACGTTTTTTGTTATATGGAATACACTCAGTCTGATACCGTCATGGTATATAAACACGTAATTTAAATCGTATTAAGTATTACATAACAGTATGGCACGAGCGTCATCTTCGACACCATAATTGAAGCACAACGCGAAAGCCACATCTTCCTCGATTTATCACAAGTGTCTCGTGCTTGGTTGACGAACAGTGATCTTGTTGGGATTCTTTTTGCAGCTATCTTTGATACTTACAGAAGAAGTATATAATTATATTTATATAAAAGTCGTTATTTTCGTCGTGACTCAGGCATTATATGTTGAGACCGTTTGTACAGGATGCTTGGTTTAAATGCATGTTTATTCAAATGTTTCGACAGAGATTATGTTCGACATTTATTAACAATCGTTCGAATTCTTGAACTGACGAACATACTTTAAGCGTCCACATCTCAGACTTGTATGAACTTTCAAACTGATAGGCACAATAATTTACGATTCCTACTATATTCTGTTGTATGTTGGCTTAAGAAACGGTCAAGAAATATATCCATCAACAAAAATTATCGTGATGGACAATTTGGTCACAATGAGTTTGGCGTTCAGATCGCTTTGTTTGTGGTATGAACAGTCTGAACACAGTCATTCCAAATAATACAATTTCAAATGCAGATGTGGGCATGGTTAAGTTGAATAAGTTTGAATTAAAGAGGATTGGAAGCTTTCCCTAGAAAAATAATGTTCTGGACAAAAATCATAAATGTATCGATCTATCAAAAGCTGATGTCACCGTGTTCTTAACATTACCTCATTTGTGTGTATATAAGTGTTATTTAGAACCTTGTCTGATTATTTCAGTATGAATTGTTATATGGCATGTTATTCTATTGTTTAACAGTATTTCTACTGAGATTCGGTAGACGCTCGTTTTATTATTTTTTAGGCAGTGACCAGTCGTCAGGAAGTTACTATATTTAGATGCTAGTGTGGTGTGGAACTTTCGGTTCGGTATACCGCATGTTATGGAAACATATGGAAAGTTATGTTATGTTCTAGTGCTATGTATATATTGTGGAACAAGAGTGTGTTTACGAATCTCACATACATTTCGTCTCTCACGCTTGTCATCGCCTCGGAACCAGCTTTCATGTGAGGATCATCCCTTATTCCCTGCCTAGCCCATGTCGGAAGCTTACCCACTGTCGCCGCTACTGTATTTTTTGTATCTGATACCACAGATTGTGTAGCTCAATGTATTGGCTTGAAATGAGAGTATAGTTTTATTGGGGTATTTACAGTGAACATTGTTGAATTCGTCCTTGTTACATCCCTTTCCTTTTATATAATACTGACACTTGTGTGTTTGTTTGTGTGTTTGTCGGTTTCACACTAAATTCTCTGACGTACTGATTTCTTGGTGGACATATTGTTTCGTAACAGCATGCGCATAAAACCTGTTGGTAAGTATTGGTCGTATATTGCTTAATCAATGTGTCACAGTTTCATTCGCCATTACTTATATCTTAAACAAAGCAATCAATGTAACAAAAACCAACACAATTACAAATGCTATCTGTATAATAGAACCATTACATGCATTTCAAATATTTCAACTATTCAAACGGATAAACTTCCACTTAAAACTAACCATATTAACCTGTCACATCAAATCCGTTTGCGCGGACGTCATAGAAAGCAATTACTCTGGCGGACGTCATAGAAGCCAATCTAGACAGACGTAATACATTTGTAAGATGATTAAAGGGCAATGTGACAGAAGCGTTTTACTTGTATAAAAGAAAATCGCCTCCTCATAACATGAAGAAAGGTTTGAACACGTAGGACTGTGTATTGAGTCGAAACAAGCTCTGGCCAGTTCCGGATACGACTTCCGTCGCTGAAACTATAAAACTAACAAGATGTTTCTAAGCCTGGCATATCCCAATTTAGCGCTCAGCTATGGACTGCACCTCTATCCTACATTTTAAATACATTTGTAGAATGCACTGACAGGCTCGCTGAGGATTTTTCTGAGCACAACTATCATGGTCGTCAACCACAAAACATTTTTTGAAAAGCATGTATAAACATAGTCTATTCTCTCATACTGTATGTACTCTTAAAATATATATTGTCGAATTGTTTTGATTTCTTATTATATTATTTGTTTCATAAATAAATATATTATTATATATTTTTTCACTTTTGCGTCCAATTCTTTTTACATTTATATTTTCGGCGAGGGCTAGATAGGTTGTTGGAACATTACAGTGTAATAACTGTAAACATAACATTGTAATTTAATACCATTATGCAAGTTTTAATCAGATAATGACACATTTGCATGTATTATTTCTACTTGGTTATAAAACAGTCACCAGTACACAACCTGCGCCTAACGATGTGATATTTACATGAGCTACAAAGTATCTATGATCTTGCGTTGACAATTTGTATTGATATTTACATGACATGACCCTATTCTCTAGTATCGGCAAGTCATAAACCTTCGACACATTGCCGGAGTCCGCCCGGAGAGCGGAAGGTCCGGGTTTCGATCCCCGGCCGCGTCATACCAAGAGACGTTAAATGATACTTGTTGTTACCCTCTGGCGGTCGGCTCGGAGTCTGTATACTATGTCTTGAAGGGGTATTCATGTTAAACTGCGGCATGGTATTTCAGAGGACTAGCACTATAAAATCAGCATCAGTCTGGACTCCCCCCCCCCCCCCCCCCCCCCACACACACACACACACACAGTCATCCCCCTCCCTCCCGCCACACAAACACGAGCATGCGCGTCCCTATATAAGTGTAATAACCTTGGACACGTTTACCCCAATTTCACCTCAACCTATCTCACCAAACATGACGATACAGAGATAATATGTCTTAATCCAGTTTGTTATTGAAAATGAGGTAATAGAAGTTGTAAACAAGCATAAATATGTGCGCACCATCACTGATATAAATACAGGATAAACACTGATATCTATACATATTATAAAATAATAAAGTCCACGTTAGTCCATCATCTTCTTTATATCAGTTGGACTAATGATGATGGACTAACGTGGACTTTATTATTTTATTATATATTACATGTACACTGAGTGAACATTTACCTCATTTTTGTATATATATATATGCATGCAGAGGTTGAATTTTCTTCGTCGTTTATGGCATTTTCAACATCCAACATATTCCCTTAAGTATGTATGTAATTGTATTCTAAATAACATTGTAGGCATGATACTTATCTTATCTTCAAAGTAAAATGTTTATCTTTAAACACATATTGAACGACTGACATAGGTCATTTAACTGATGAAAAAATGTTGGAGTCTCCCGAATTAGTAAATCCCCTGCATTTTGAGACTTCCATGACAGTATTCCCAGTGAGACGTAATGAAACGCTGGTCGGGGATTATTTCTGTTAAGACTCGAGTATTCGGTGTTAAACACGCAATGTCCACACAAGGTTCTTTACAGGTTATGACCAACACTGATGGACAACGTCGTTAACATCGCTGGCCCCGTGAGAAGGACGTGATGGCGAGTATTGGTTTAGGCAAACACAAGTTAAACACGAGGTTCTCTAGATCCTTGTCATTTTCATTGTTTAGTATTCCTATGCAGACATTATCCTAAACTTTACATACTGCTTACAACAGTCAGTAATTTCTATCAGCTGTTCGTTGTACAGTTCCACGGTGATGTAATGTGGTCTTTGTAGACACTTCTGGTTTATAAATAGAACTTGGTTAGGGATACCGATGAACAGCTTTGAATGTGTCCCATGACACTATTGAATACTATTCGTATGCATTTCCTCTCAGTGACATTAAGCAACACCAGGACTCTCAGAATATCTTATCAAAGTCAGTTTAGAGTCGATTGTACGATTCCGACTGTGTCATGGACATGTGACTAAGAATTGCTATCAAATAATGATGATAGGTGTTGCGAAAAGAATAATTATATATGTAAGGTTTTTTCCTACGCTGTTTTTGGAAACACTGGGATTGCATACATACATATTGATGTTCAAATTAGAGGATAATGGATTAATCATGTGACATGGCGCGGGGAAGTTATAGGTCCATGTCTCCGCAGTTGTAAACGTTCAGCAAGAGATGGGGATGCAGGAAACAGATCTGTGTACTGTCTTGGCCTGGTGATTGGACACATAGTTCCCTGTGATTCTACATACCTAGCAAGGCAGTTGATGTTTGGCTGTACAGGTTACAGGATACTCTTTGTCTTACTTCATCTCGTGGAAGTGTGTTGTGGCAGCACGTGAGAACGTGCAGGATGCTGACGTCATCAATTGGAATAATCGTGATTACAGGTAAGAGAATTTATGCTCAAATGACTGACATCTTACCTTTTTTTGTTCTTACATGTGCAAGTTTCAAATGTCTTACATGATCAATATAAGTATAACTGAAATGGATGAAAAAGCAGTTATAATTTTAAGAACATTGATGTGTAAGGATGTCCGTTACCAAAAAAACGATTTTACACGTTTCTGCTGTCTTTATCTACATCTCCTATGAAAACCTTCTGTCCAAGACTTGCTCAAGTTCAAATATTAGAAAATCCTCCGGAAAGCTCTAACATCAGCCACATATTAACATTACCTGTACATATACTGTCCAAAACATTCAAATGTTGTAATCAGTCTAATTCCCATTCATACGAACATATCTGAAAGATATTAATAAATAAGTCAAAAGGTTTTGCTCATTTACTAATTTTATACAGATGATGTAGGCCAATGATGTCCCTTATCTTGCCCAGTATACATCTCTGTTTGTTTGTTTGATTGTTTGTTGTTGTGTTTGTTTATTTATGAACATATTAAGTAGTGGTCAACATTTATATCAGGGCCTCCCGATGGCATCTCCTGGCCACGAGGGGCGGTCGGGTAGCCTAGTGGTTAAAGCGTTCGCTCGTCACGCCGAAGACCCGGGTTCGATTCCCGACAAGGGTACAATGTGTGAAGCCCATCTCTGGTGTCCCCTGTCGTGATATTGCAGGAATATTGCTAAAAGCGGCGTAAAACCATACTCACTCACTCGTGGCCACGAACTAAACATGAGTTTACATTTCACCATTTCCCTTCCTGTGTTCAATCAATGGAGAAATACAGGGAACTGATATCTATTTATTTGAACATTCGAGACAGTTATTATACAATAATTTGATTTGATGTTCTGTGTTGTACAATTATAGTATATATTTGTAGGACTTGCCATAGTCTGTGACGCCACCGTCGAGTGCGACTTCAACGACGGCAAACTGTGTCAGGGCTGGAAACAGGGCATCGACAACATCATCGACGAATTCGACTGGTCAGTTGGATTCAGCCGAGGTCAACTGTCTGACTCCGACTCCAACTCCACAAACATAACGCAAAGTATGTAAATATAAGTGCCAAACTTCTGGGCATAATCATAGGAAATATCTGCTAAAACCACTGTACATTTCCGACTCATCATAGTGAGCGTGTCACGAGTCTGCCCTGCCGGGGGCACCCGTCAAGATTACCGTGACGATTAAAGAACGATTACATGTTATTGATAGATAAGGGATGACTGTAGCAATCACTATTGCGATAGTTTCATATGAACACCGTTTCCTTTTTACAATGAAGAGTTACTTGTAGCAACCGTTAGAGCAGGACATGCTTACCCTTTGGTGGCGTCACTGATTTTCAGTGATCCATTCACATAGTTTACCCGGCTATTTCGCCGTTTGCGCCATATGAAATCTGTTTCGGCAGATAATCGAGACTGGTTATTATCCGTCGTTTGACGTTTTATCTTTGCATCAGCTAGTCAACATGCTTACACAGAACAAGGGGTTGTCCAACATTCGGCAGACCGCTTGGAATCTAATGAGAGTGGGGTGGAGGTTACTTCTGATTATTGGTTGATACAAAATATGAGGTATAAAAGAATGTTAATAGTAACCTAAAAGCCTCTTCAATTAAAGTGTATTTGGGATGAAAACGAAATATTTCATGTCGGAGGGCACATATATATAATAATAACCCCTAATATTTAACCTTTAAAGTGTTTATTAGATGATCCAAGTAAATATGAAGGTTTGCGCACACAATTGGCAGACTCTGAACCCCCGTATGCAAACTGCCGGGCAAAAGAAAATATAAACTTAAACATTTGGTTTGACCAATAAAATACAAATGTTATCAAAACACTACTTGGCTGAAAACAATCGGCGAAACATTACAACCCTAGTACTGTTCAAAACAAGACTATGATAGCCATTCAACTACATCACATCGAATAACTATATCCTGTTTGTTTCGTGTTAGCTACTATCAAATATCGGTGTATACGTTGCTGTCCCGACAGTTTAGTTCATAAAAATCATTAACAAATTACATCACATTGTTGATGAGCTGGTGAGTAGAGTTTAAGCCGCGTGAAGCAAAATTCCAACACCAAATACTTAAATTCATGATTTTATAAACAAAATGCTTCTGGTGTTTATTTGAATGATGTATCTTGTGAACGGATGTAGTGTCAGTGAGGTATTTATGTTCTTTGTTTAGACTTAGACTTAACTGTATTGAAAATGAGTTGAGATCGGCGCGGGATACGAATCAGCACGTAGTTTGTCAAATCGGATCTATAGCAGAACAAAAGCTGTGTCAACGTGTCGTTCATGAATGACGAGGAGAATACTGTGATTCTGTTGTCAGCACAATGTGTTCGCACTGAACTACTTGTCCAAACCATGTCTCGTGATTTTTGTATCTTGCATATTTGCGTAACTTTTTATCGAGCATATTTGCGTAACTTGAAATCCAATTGTATTAATTAAACCAATATAGAAAAAATAGGAGTTAAGACATTCAACGCGATGTATTTTACCTGAATAGGATGTTAAACAGGCCATCCACGAAATGTGGCCTTGTGATGAACCATCCCATGGCATCACGCTAAACTCATATAATTTTTTAATTTGAAGTTTACACGATATACGGCATTTCCATTTTCCATACAGTTTGGCTCTCACTCTATGAAGGTTCATACTCCAATGAACTCACACAAAGTGAAGGTCAATTCTTAAGTAGTCTTCAGGCATGAAGGAAGTTGTCTGGCACCAGAAACAGCAGTTTCATATACATGTGCACTTACATCCAGCGCAGCAGGCAACTTTGAGCTGCCTGCGGGTATTATCAATACATTGTTAATTATCTACATGTATATCATTATAATTATTGTCAACATTATTGTCGTCGTCATCATCAGTACTTATATTTTATATCTTCATCGTGTGAGGCAGGAGTTGTCAAGTTTTCCAAAGCGCAGTAATTCGCCATGCAGAGTTACCTCTCTTGTTTTGTCAGGAGTTGTTTTGACGAGGGTTCGAACCATGTGGTCAGTTTCCTCACACAATGGACCCTAAACCTAACTCATCCACTCATTCTTTTTTGTAGAGACACAACATATGTCTACCAAACAATGAAACGTCTTCAAGATATTATTTTTACTGGTACTTTATCCTTCAGTCGGGGACTATTTCTTCTACATGGCCACAACTGACCGGTCGCCCAATCACAGAGCAGTATTTGCAACCCCTGTCATGACGTCACCAGACGGTCACGTGAACATCACGTTCCTCTACTGTATGTTCGGGGACCACACCCAAAGCCTTAGTGTCTTCATCAAAGATATGTCTTTAGTCTCGTACGAGTCCGAGATTTGGTCACGTGACGGGAAGGATGCGGACGTATGGACATCAGTCACTGAACACGCAAATGTTACAGGTCCTTTCAGGGTGAGAACGACATGCGTCTTTAAACTATACATCTTTAAATAATCAACATAAATAAAATAAAAAAAATTCTATTCGCCTATATATTTTCATGTATATTTGTCACCCTCTGTCTATTCGTCTGTGTATGTGCCTATATCTTTGTCACCCTCTGTCTTTTCGTCTGTGTATGTGCCTACATATTTGTCACACTCTCTGTCTATTCGTCTGTGTATGTGCCTATTTTATAAATTTGTCACTCTCTGTCTATTCGTCTGTGTATGTGCCTACATATTTGTCACTCTGTCTATTCGTCTGTGTATGTGCTTATATATTTGTCACTCTCTGTCTATTCGTCTGTGTATGTGCTTATATATTTGTCACTCTCTGTCTATTCGTCTGTGTATGTGCCTATATATTTGTCACTCTCTGTCTATTCGTCTGTGTATGTGCCTATATATTTGTCACTCTCTGTCTATTCGTCTGTGTATGTGCCTATATATTTGTAACTCTCTGTCTATTCGTCTGTGTATGTGCCTATATATTTGTCAATATCTCTGTCTTTTCGTCTATGTGTGTTCCTATATACTTGTCAATATCTCTGTCTTTTCGTCTATGTGTGTTCCTATATACTTGTCAATATCTATGTCTATTCGTCTATGTGTGTTCCTATATACTTGTCAATATATCTGTCTATTTGTCTATGTGTGTTCCTATATACTTGTCAATATCTCTGTCAATTCGTCTACGTGTGTTTCTTTATACTTGTCAATATCTCTGTCTATTTGTCTATGTGTGTTTCTATATACTTGTCAATATCTCTGCAGTGATGTGCCAGGAATAGTGCACAAGGTGCAGCCACACCTACTCACTCACACTATGTTTCTGTTCAGGTGATCTTCCAGGGGAAGGTGGGGAAGGGATCAGCAGCCATTGCCGTGGATGACATCCTCATAAACGATGCAGGTACGCAAAGCATCCACGCATTCTGTAGCTCAGTATCTGATCTTCTGTTTTACTGTAGTAAAGAGACATGCAGCATACATAGAGGCATATGCTATGCGGTATATTTACAGGCTATAACACCTTATCGACTCAGAGGTTTAGTGGAAGACTAAGGCACGGTCTCTGAAAATATATAATTTTGGCAGAAACAAGCAACTACATTAAAACTAAAAAGGGTCCCCTGAACCTGTGGAAAATCTAAACTTGCTTAGGTTATGGCATTACAGTAAAGGCTGGGCGGGAGGAAAAGTAATTATATATGTTTCAGGGACTATGAGAGAGACTAGTTTTGTGGGAACGCTTGTCGTTTATTGTAAGGATCTGAAAAGTCATATACAGTGTAATAAAATACTTCCAATGACCACCCTAACATGAATTGTTTATAGCAAAGACATCCGTGTAGAATAAAATAATATGTGCACATAATAAGCAATGTATAATGTGGGATATGTATGAAAAAGGTTATTGGAAGAACATTAACGGAGAGATATCAAAATATTTTACTGTCCCTCATTTTATGGGTCTACCTAATAGGTCCCACCTTATTCTCTCTGTATACCATACCAAAACAGCCATGTAAGCATCCTTTCCACTGTGGAACTGATGGAATGTCCTAAACAAGTGGATTTTATTTTGTTCTCAGATGTCCTGACGGATGGAAAGACGGCACCAGCTCCACCGTCCTTGGGAAATACAAGTACGGAGTTGTTTGAAGTGTTCCTACAACATGTTAACTTAGTATCACGACATGCGAGTAGTACTAATACCCTCATTACGCATCCACACACATATACGTGTTTAGTGGTGTGATGAGACACATTAGTGTAGACAATGTAAACTGCTGACTTCTCAGTCGGTACGTGTTCGGTGCTGTAGAGGAGCTTGATAACAGTCATCGTCACAGGCTAGTGACACGCTCTCTTCCCTTGCTTAACTTTGCCTATTTAAGGCAAGACTACTGCCCTACTACTGCCCTATATCAAAGTGAACCACGGCCAGTTGTGATCATATCCACTGACTGGGATATCTTGTGGCGTAAGGCGCCCTCTCTCGTTGTGTAGAGTTACATCCCTTAGTCGTGTAGGATCAGCTTTTCCTTGATCGAATCCTGGTTGTCGATCAAGTTCTGATCCTTGGTCCGTAGCGCCACTCTTTTATAGGATTTAACCAAAGAGGTAAACGCCGTGATGTATCTGAAATACTGTTCATGACGGCGTAAAAATCAACTCAATCATTCTTCGTTTGGACCGCGGGGAACCAATACGGTAACGTATTGCTGACACAGTTTCAACTTTCTATTTATCGCTATGTTTCTTCTGTGTCATAGCAATATTTATAAACTTAAAAACACATATATAATTATATCGGCAACGATATTTTAGATAATAATATGACAGACAAAAACACCCGGATAACCGAAGATGAGATTTCATATCTCTACATCATAAACACAGAATTAGTCATTCAAAATTATGATGTTATGCACTATTCCATACTTTCAGATTTAACGACATCAACGACACTGACAACATCTGTCGGGCACGACGGCGTCACAAGAACGACACAGACCATCACAGCTGATCCGGGCATATTTGATCTAGAAACAATCCCACTGATCATTGCGGCTTCCGGTGGGGTGATATTTTGGATAGGAGTCCTGTTGTTAATCACATTTTTCACGTGCAGGAAATCACGGAAATCGAAAAACAGAGTATTGCATGAAAATGATAATGTCAATAAAAAACTACAAACGATGAACAGTAAAGACAATGCCCTTGAGGTGAAGTATGCTCCGAAACAATCGCAGGAAATAAAGATCTACAAGGTATCAGACCAAGTAACACCAGATGACTACAAATCGCCAGACCAGATCTACATGGAGAACTACCTGGCTCCACACCCGGTCTGCAGGAGCTACAGACCACCAGACCAGCTCTGTGTAGAGAAGGATCTGCCAGTGTATAACAACCAGATACCTTGTGTGTTTAACTATGACGCCCTTACCTCTGATCCCGACACGTCACAGCCACGATACGCCCAGTGTTCCCCCATCCACGACTACGCTACTATATCATGACCAGGACAATACCGTCATTTGCTGCTAATACAAACCCTAATACAAACCCCGTTAATCCAGACTGTCCCGTTCTCAGTGAACAGGATTGACAAATTTCTAGATAAAAGAACCATGTGGTAATATTTAAAAAAAAACATATTTGTCATTTGTAGAGTGCCCGTTTCAAGTCAGTGATATGCCCTTGAGAAGGAACAGCGCTGACATGTGATTCGGTGGTATGCCTGTCTAATGAAGTCTTAAGCTGAGTCATAAAGGAAGATAGATTCGGAGACAGCCTGGAGGCTTGTATGACAATAATGTTGCAGCTTTGGCAAAGGCTCCATCCCCAAAGATGCTGATGTGTGATTTGGGCACAGACTACATACGCTGAGTAGCTGATCTTAGAGACCGGGACAGAATGGGCTCTTTTACGAGCTGGCTGATTTATTTGGGTGCTATTCTAAGCTGTGCTTTGAATACAAGGGCCATTCAAAGCCCCTTGGTAGTATTTTAGATATGGTTTTGATAAATATGGTGTCGTTTCAGTATTTAATACAAGTCGTCCGGAAACCTGAGTTTCCTTATCAAAGAGGTCCGGAGTACCGGGGTTTCACTGTATGATATTGTACAACACGGTTGGTGGGTGGGACCATTACCGCGAGACCTTCAATATTTTGATTATTGATTAAAGCGTCGTAAAATCGTCATTTGAAAAGAGACGAGAGACTACCATACTAATGCTCTTCTAAAGTGCCTATATTCGATATCCTAATAGAAACTAATATTACCTGTTTATTTATATCGCCTATGGTGTGCTTTGTGTAATAACTACATAGTTACATACATAACTCTGGTTGACGGACGCGTTGGAAGAGAACTGCCGAGTGACGTGTTTCAGAAACTGTTTGAAATGTGCACCCGGAAGAAGTGTCACCATGCATTCTGTATTTTCACATATCCCGAACTTCCATTTGTCTTTTAGAAATATTTACATATCACGTTGATTTAATATATAGGATACCACAAATAACTGCTGACAACTTGGTACAAGAACAGTGCGTGTAAGAATTTCTCCTGGTGGTCGCAAGTACTTGGTCGCATGGAATGTTTGTTTGTTTGTTTAACGCCGTTAGTCAGGTGCCGTTAGTCGCCTTTTACGTTCATTCGTTCGTTCGTTCGTGTGTTGTTTAACACCGCACTCAGCAATATTCCAGCTATATGACGGCGGTCTGTAAATAATCGAGTCTGGACTAGACAATCCAGTGATTGACATCATGAGCATCGATCCACGCAATTGGGATCGATGACATGCATCAACCAAGTCAGCGAGCCTGACCACCCGATCCCGTTAGTCGCCTTTTACGACAAGCATAGTCGCCTTTTACGGCAAGCATGGGTTGCTGAATACCTATTCTACCCCGGAATCTTCACGGGTCCGCCTTTTACGAGCATAGTCGCCTTTTACGGTAAGCAAGGGTTGCTGAAGACCTATTCTTTACCCGGGAAGTAAATAAAACTACTACTGCTGCCATGTAACAAAACGTGTCCTTACGTGTTTCTGTAAATTAAAGTATGTTTTTTTTAAACAAAAGATGTGTTTCATCAGAGCATGAATACAGGATATGATTTCATAAAATGACATTTCAAATATAAAGTGATAGTACTTTACGTTTTCCCGTGTATAGGAATAGCCTGAATTGTGACATCCTCGATTATAAGGGGTATTATATCTCCTTTCTCTTGTGATGAATATACCACTTACCGAATAGATCTTGACAAAGTAAGGATAGATATTCGGGGTGGGTGAACATTTCCTTTACCGAATGGATCTTGACGAGTCAAGGGTAGACATTCGTGTCGGATGAATACCTAGAGGGTGTTTTGTAAGTTTTCTTCAGAGATTCGTGGTAACAGATTGTCTGTAAATGTTGTACATAGCTTTGTTCTCAATAAAGACATTCCTCGGTATAGCTTTACGTCGTTTTTAACAATAATGAAGCAATACCACGGAGAGTGACGTCATCTAATATAGACATCCTGGTTGAAACGATACAGCTGTAAATCTGCTGACATGACAAATACTAGTGGAAGAGAACAATCAGTGATTCCGTGAATGAGGCGGGTCCTTATGTAGGATGTGACACATTCATAAATATATTCATGCTGAGCAACTGTGTCGAGTAATGCTATATATGATGATTTGATAGATTCTCTGATATGCAATAAATCTTTTCACATTTAATACACTTAAATATTAGATAAACTTAAAGCGGTTATGGATCAGATGTGATAAATAATCGATGTTTTTTTAAAATAAACTTGTGTTTGTCATAAACTTCTTTGTACCAAATATAGCTAACCCATATACATACAATGTATGATAGATGATTTGTACAGATGATCAATATAAGAAGTAATTTAACATAGACGGCAACAACAACACTAACAACAATAATAATAATAACAACAACAACAACAACAACCTGCTCAAGTATGCTAAAAGCGCTACATTGGTAGTACCAGGTCAGTGGATCATCTCCCTGGGGAGTATGCAGCTCAAACTGCCTGTGAAGCACTAAAAAGGTAAACGGCCACATTACCATCCCACCCTACCGGGTACCCATTCACTGATGGGTGAACAGCGGCATATCCCGAACAAAGTCACTTGCCTGAGGAGACCCCACACATAGCGTGTACTTTAGTGTGAGGCAGGGCCGGAGCCCTGGGAAGCCACAGAGGCTGGTTCGAATATCTAGACGAGGACGCTGACATTTGGTACACTTCTGGTATAAGCACATAGGTACCAAGGCCATTTGCTGTGTAATGTTTCAGAGAAGGTGTCTAAGTGGAAGTGGATATAAACTGCGCCGACAAAAGGAAGTATATGCGTGAATTTGGATTTGGCTAAAGAATTACAATCGTTATCAAAGCATTACTTGGCTGAAAAAAAGTCGCCGAAACACTGCACATTTTAGGTCCGAAACACAACTATGGTGCCAGTATCGAATACATTACCATCGAATAACCATTTCGTGTTTGTTTCCTTTCATAGCCAGAATCAAAAATAGGTGACTCCCTTCTTTTGCCCAGCAAAAACAAGGTTTAGTTTTGTTATTTTCTCTAAAAAAAAATTAATATAAAGGCTACAAAAATCCTTTCTGGTATTTCCTTTCATCATTCAAGATCGATTATTAACAATCGATCATAGAATGTCTTTTCAAACGAATATTCTTTACCAATTATTTTAGGTAGATTTTACTAAATGGGATGTGCATTGGCAAACAAAGTCAAGTTTCATGTCATCGTTGATAACAAGATCTAAAATATGACGAACTAAAATATGTCCGATGCATCCTTTCCTGTAGCGAGGTCTATGAAGCAGGCGAGGTGATTCCTCACATATAAGAACCACAATTTTACACAACATAAAGACAAACTAAAGCATAATAAAAAATGAGATAAGATCACCATTCTCGTGAAGTTTTAAAAAACAGAAATAATTTTCGTAATTCGTTTAAAATGATATCAATGATATATAGTATTAGTATCGTTATATAAAGTACAGTATACTATTGTATATTGTATTAACTTTACCATGTGTTAAAGCAACTGGAAAGGCCTTAACACCTGGCTGGCCGACCAGGTTGTATACTGACGCCGTTAGTTAAAAGTGTTGTTTCTGCAAATGATTTGTGTAACTGTGTTGCGAATCATAGGACTCAGTTTGGAGTTAAGAATCACAGGTTTTGTTTTTGTAATTTCAGGTTATTTGAATTAAAGTTTTTGAAGCGATGCGTACGTGTTAACAAACAAAAGCTTTGTAAATTGGTTGTTGCGACAATTACGCTGTTTAAACACTCGTCTGTTGTCCCCGGTTGTGCTCCAGTGACTTGGAATGCAGACCATGTGTCTGACTGCTGACTGTTTAACGGGGGAAATGAACTTTAACACCAATTAAGAAATATTTACAATTAAAATGGCGAATGGATGAGAGGGTCCTGAAATTACTTGGGGTCACTACCTTCAGGTTTTTATAAGACACATCTCCACATTCCAGAACAAGTTAAATAAAAGATTTCGAACATAAAATATTGTGATTATATATTCCTTATTCTTAAATCAAATCGAAAAAGCAGACACACTGGCGTAGCTTGCTCTAGACAATGTGGAGATAAGCCTATTCTCTTTAGTAAACTGGAGACGCAAGTAAGCTCGGCAAATGGCTATAAACAATTCAACCCAAGGTTGCTAAGGCAGAAGGCGACCTCTTGTAGTCTTGAAACAACAATCAAATAGTCATACTGAACATTAACAACAGAGCTTTTAAATATTTATCGATTCTATAACACTTTATTGAAAAAGTCAGTACGAAATCATAAAAAAAATTCCAAAAATCCATACAAAACCATATCATCATTTTTTACAACAACATATTATCGAAAAAAATTATGTACATTTGCACTGTACTTTGAAAATAGTATTTTGGAGGCAATACGAACTGAGAACCTTTCGTCTGTGCCCAACGATGATTTTTCGCAATCGTCCCGCGCCAAACAAGAGTTATCTCATCTTGAGTTATCGTCCTTGAACTTTGATGGCGGAAGAAGTTGTCTGAAGAGGTGAATTTCTTCCCTGTGTTCAAAATCAACTCGCATTAATTGCTACATGTGTCGATATTTTGTTTAAGGAGTTCCGTAAGCCGGTGTTGTAATCAATAATGTAAACATTGAAGGGGTATATCATCGCAAAATTGAGGAAAATAGACGAAAATTCTTTTCTCAGTTGGGGGTCACAAGTGTGTCGAAAATCTGAATTGAGACAAAAGTTTCCATGCTTGGGTCAATCCAGTTCACTAATGCCAACTTTTCTCAAAAGAAGAGTCCAGGTATGATATTGTTGTCAACTCGCAATTACTCTGTGATGTGTATTGCATATTGCAGGAGTCAGACTGCTCGGAAAACGCGCCTAGATTTACGACCAGTTTCGATTGTGAAAGTGTACACACGACCATTTCATAAGTTTTATTAGATTATTTCATTGCTAATGACTAATGAGTGTAAAATAATGATTTGTTTCATTGCTCCCTTTGCATACCTATGTGCCTATGGGCGTTTACCTCTTTTCGAGTCAGGAATATTTCAAAATGAATTGTTTATGCTTTGTTTTATCATGAATTATTCTTATAGCCATCACCACTGGCTTGTCTATATGTTTATTTGTCTAGTGTTGGAGTGGCACATGTAGATTCATCCACAGAGAAACTTTGTGAATAAGCTCAATATACAATCAGCCTCAGAAAATAGTTTCTTTACTTTAAGAATAATGTGAATAAGCTCAATATACAATCAGCCTCAGAAAATAGTTTCTTTACTTTATGAATAATGTAAACCTTAATTCCACTAGTCCTCAGAGTTTTTAGGTAGTCCTGCTTGAACAAGACAAAAATGTTTTAGATCTCCTATGTTTACATTTTCTCTGCGTTTTAAACAGTTCCAATTTGCAGCAAAATGGAAGCATTGACTGAGTTCAGACTTATGATTAGAGCCCCCAAATGCTTCTAGTCAATGAGGACTATGATCAGTGGATTCTTATGAAATTTATGTGTCCTCTTCAATTTAGTTATCTAGACTGGCATAAATGTTGAAGGATAATACATAATATTACTCAGTCTTTTGCATGATCTGTGCCCAATGTGGTATCACTGTATGATTATGAGTGTCGGCACAATGTCAATAATGGAATATATTTAAACCTTCTTTTGTCAGGATTTGTGTTTATGCTGAATGAAATAATCTTGTCCTTGAATGAAAGCTTTAGCCATGATAACTGTTTGTAAGAATGAATTCAACAAATCCTTACGTCTTCTTGGGTTTGATACTTATTTGTCAACTGGTCAACATCACCCTCACATAGACATGCACAGATACCTCAAAATTTCACTTCTAGAGTTCTAGCCCACATTTAATTCTTTCCACTGGTACCGTTGTCAAACACCATTTTAATATTTATGATGCTAGCACTTAGATCTGATTACAATTTCATGTTTCGTGCAGTTAGTTGTATTTTGAATGTAAGGATTTTCCATCATTACAGTCTTCACTATTAGCTTTCAAACCTCTTTACTATCTTAGGACCTGTGAAGATCCAGGTTAGAATTGATCTTCAGCAACCAATGCTTGTCGTAAGTGGTGACTGGGATTGGGTGGTCAGACTCGCTGACTTGATGCATGTCATTGTATCCCAATTGCGTAGATTGATGCTCATGATGTCCGACTGACACATCACTTACCCTGTGACGTAATAAATATTAATGCGCACATTCCAGGAAAACTCGCAATGTTTCGGTAATGTTTGTGAGAGAGGGAAAGTGATTTTAAAGTACAGAATTAAAGAATGACATTATATGATAAAGAGGTTATATGATAAACACTATGTATCAGTGACTTGATTATTTACAGACCGCAGTCATATAGCTGGAATATTGCTGAGTGTGTCATTAATCAGTAAACAAACTATCTTAGGGTTATTGCCATTTTGGACAATTTGGGCACTTGAGCGGATGGCACTTATTTAAAATATGCCCAGTAAAGTTCACACTCAATTATCTGTTGTTTCCTTATGTAATGTAGAAACACTTGTTTGAAACAAAGCATGTAGTCAAGAATTCCTCATCATTACCCTTTTGTCAAAATTTTAAGTTTTAGGGGTCCCTAGTTTCAAATACTCTTGGAACAAACCTCAAGGATCTCTGAACCCCTCTAAGTTTGAACATTGAGAAACTGTAGTACTATGCTCACGTGTCAGATCTATCTTTAATCAGTTTTGATGATGTCCCTTCACCATGTTGAGTGTAATGTATTGATACAAGGCCAAGTGTAACAATATGTATTGATACAAGCCTAAGTATCACAATATGAATTGATACAAGCCTAAGTATCACAATATGTACTGATACAAGGCGAAGTATCACAATATGTATTGATACAAGGCGAAGTATCACAATATGTATTGATACAAGGCGAAGTATCACAATATGTACTGATACAAGCCTTAGTATCACAATATGTACTGATACAAGGCGAAGTATCACAATAAGTATTGATACACGAGGTATGCTTATCATACTTCCAAGCGGCAAGCAGAACATTAGACAAATGGGCAACCATGCCCCTGACAAAACTATATATTGCGATACTTGTTTTGTATCGATAGATATTGTGATACTTGAGGCTTGTCTTTATACATATTGCAGTACTTAGCCTTGTATCGATACATATTGCGAAACTTGAGTTGTGTATCAATACAAATGATAACACTGAAATACTTTTCGATACTCACCCATTTAAGGCGAACATTCTGATGCTAATATCTTTCACAGGAGACTGGAAAGCGTTTTGTTATTGCTATGAGTTGACTGCAAACATATTTACTCTTCATGTACCATCAGTATTATTCTCACTCACAGGGGAATTGTAGGAAAACGCTATGCAGTTTTCAAAGTTTGTCTTCAGTTACTTGTCTAGAGACCTCAGCCAAGTCAAATATATTTCAGTTGCGTAAGCTCAGTCAATACTTTTATAAAGTTGGTTTATGCATCTACCAGCCCGAAAAATATGTAGAGAGAGAAAAAGAGGGAAATTTGAAATGATATTTTTATTTTGCTGCTGCAATCTTCAATATTCACAACACAAATATTTGGCAAACATTATGTTAAGTGACAATAACTCTGGGCCTGACAAACCTGGCTAGTTGAACACTGCAAATATGGCTACATATTCAAATAATCTCTTAAAGATGAGAAAAGTATCTGAAATGGCTTTTTTTTCCTTCTACCTTCCCACCAGCATTTTGTACATAAAAAGTCTAAAACAATAAAAGAAAAAAGGTCTGGTGGCCTTAGCCATGTTAGCTGAGGCTTGAACGATGCACTGCACTACGATCTCGTAATGTACTAGGGTCACATTATGATACACCATCAGAAATGCTGCCTGATATGTTAACAGAAACATTTCTAGGAATCCAAAGGTAGCCCTCCCAGTTGACTTAAGTCAGTTATAAACACAATGTCTTCAGCCCGTACCTGTGGGATGCCAGGTTAGGATAGGTCTCCGCAGCTACCTAGTCATCAGAGGTGAACAAATGGATCGGGTGGCGAGGCTCAATGACCTGGAAAATAATGTGTCATCATATCACGATCATTGTTAACAATATCAATCACTGGATTGTCTGCTCCATATTTGATGAAGTCATGTATTTACAGGCTCCCTTCATATGGTGTAGCACCCATGAAGATCCGAGGTAGAATAGGTCTTCAGCAACCTGTACTTGCTGTAAAAGGCGACTATGCTTGTCGTAAGAGGCGACTAACAGGATTGGGTGGGCAGACTCAGTGACTTGGTTGATGTATGTCATCGTATCCCATTGCGTAGATTGATGCTTATGATGTCAATCACTGGATTGTCTGGTCCAGACTCGATTATTTACAGGCTGCTGTAAAATGCCCCACCACAAACAAACAAACATCATATGCTATGGCTGAAAAATTAGGTTGTGCATCATTCATGCAGCAATCTTCAGCATGTTGACACATCTTGTGCATGTACAAAGAGAATATTACAGTTTGTGTTCATGCCATTTTCCATGTCACCTTTGTCTCGTTTTTTGTTAATGATTTACTATTGTAAAACTCATATTGTGGCATAGAGTATCGCAGTGCACCAAATGTTTGGTGAATTACTAAACTCCTGGGCCCATTTGCACAAAGCGATCTTAGTGCTAAGACTATCGTAAGTCTATGTTAAAGTGTGGGAGTTATGATCATCTTAGCGCTAAGATTGCTTTGTGCAAGTGGGCCCTGGTTTTAGCTCACAATCAGGGTATTCCCATTGGTAATAGTCCATATGTTAGAAAAGCACTGAAGGGTTTTGTTTAGGCCATTGATTAGCCGTTAACTGATGGTGGCTAAGTTTCTCAGCACCTTCCCCATTGTTGTTTGTTAGTTGTTTAACAATGCACTCAGCAATATACCAACTATATGACGGCGGTCTGTAAATAATTGGGTCTGAACCAGACAATCCAGTGATTGACATCATGAGCATCTATCCAAACAACTGGGATACGATGACATGCATCAACCAAGTCAGCGAGCCTGACCACCCAATCCTACTAGTCTCATCTTACAACAGGCATAGTCGCCTTTTACGACAAGCATGGGTTGCTGAAGACCTGTTCTACCCCAGACCTTCCTATTAATCATTACGTTAGGGGTATCATTTAATAGAAATTTTACAAATGACTCAAAACTATCTTGATATATATGAATTATTCTGTATGTGTATAGTTAAAAGTTACCGATTTCTGCCTGCAATTAAATCAACTTTATGCCAAATATGGACCAGGCTTTGCCTTTGAATGTTAAAAATTGAATATTGTGCCTTCTCACTGTCCAACGGGGCGGTCGGGTAGCCTTGTGGTTAAAACATTCTCTCGTCTCCCTGAAGACACAGGTTCGATTCCCGACATGGGTACAATGTGTAAAGCCCGTTTCTGGTGTCCCCCGCCGTGACATTGCTGGAATATTGCTAAACGCGGCGTAAAACCAAACTCACTCACTCACTCAATGTCCATCGGAACCATGGTAATCATGTTAAATGTAAATGTTTCTGTGGCAGCCATTGATTACTTTAGTACCGTTATTCTGAGATTTGTATTTATACAGCATCAATATTAAAAATGTACTGAAGCCTCAATATCACGATGAATGATAACATCCTTAGATTATGTAGATTACATATTGATATACATGATATGTATCAGGCACCCTGATAAAGTAGCAGATTTCTACTTGTCAGAGCGATACTTTTCTCATGCTTAAGAACGTCTGGCTGAATACTGAAGACCTGGTGAACAGGGAGCCCCCTACTGAGATTTGCTGTGTAGAGTTGTGTACACTTAGGCATGCAAGAAACCTGTGACTTATTATGTCCAAGGTTTGTCAGCACCACACCTGTATTCATGGGTTTCACTAAACCCAAAGTGAATAATGTTGTAAAAACTGCATCTTTAGCCTACTTCACACATCAAGCTGACATGCTGCAGAATAACTGAAATACCGTTAAGGTTGCGTATAACCCAACTCATGTTAGGCTAAGCTCTTTCCCTGGAGACTGAGTGTTTGTCACTAACCAGTGCCTACATTTTTAAAAGTATAAAAGTTCTCACTTTGTATGTGTTTCTCTTTTCAGGAGTTCACCAATTTGACAGCAGCCAAAGATGTGATCTGGACCTGCCAGCCTCGTCTATAAAACTGTCACAATGGCTTCCGGTCCCTTCACTGCTGCTGGGCAGCTGGGTAGCAACATGATGTGTATGGGTGTGCCAGCACTCAACTACGCTTACATGAACATGATGAGAAATCCCAATAGTGCTCTTGCCCATTTAGCAGAAAACCAGGTAAATCCAAACCTGGAGACTCAGATCAGGAACCACATTGGTGAGAACTCACTGATCAGCGTCTTGCATACTCCAGATGGAAAGGTGTTCCGGTGTAATTTGTGCGCCAAGTCGTTCTCGATATGGACTGAACTCGAAATACACTTGCGAACTCACGCTGGGGAGGGTGGGGCTACAACTGGTCATGTGACCCAAGTGTTCAATGAGGAAGGGGAGACAACTTTCGGTTGCAATCTCTGTGAGAAGAAGTTCAAAGTGTGGGGTCACTTGCAAGCTCACATTCGCAGTCATACAAATGTCAACAAGGACAAAGGACACATGAACTTGCAGAATCACATCAATATTCAGAATCAGAACCAGAATACCAATCAAAACCCCGAACTTCAAAACCTCGAGCATAGGGACAATGGTCAGAAGTCTCAGAATGAACCAAAAATGAATGCTAACCTAGGTAACCTCTCTAACGGTGAAAACATTTTGCAAAAATTGTCAATTTTCATGTGTAATGTGTGTACGAAAACATTCAAAACACGAGAACAGTTGCAGGAACATGGAAAGCAGCACAATCACAACCTGGATGGTCGAAAGGAAGGCACCTGTATGAACGTAGGAACTGATCCAATGGATATCTCTTTTGACTGTAATCTTTGTGCCAGAACTTTTTCTGCTCGTGAGTTGTTTCAAGACCACATGAAGAGTCATGTGAATGACCGTGCTGCCCTCTACATGATGTACACACCAGACAAGGAATGCCCCTACAAATGTAATTTCTGTGGGGAGACATTTAAGGTGATGATGAACCTCCAAAACCATATCAAAACGCACATGCTTAACACCAACATGAACACAACGAAGATCAAGACGGAGAAGCAGTTTAAATGCACAGAATGCAAGAAGTCGTACGACGTCTGGGGCCACCTTCAGGCCCACATGAAGAAACACACTGGCGAGAGCAAAAGTGCTGCTCAGCTGGTTGAAGGTCAGATTCCCTTCAAGTGTGAAGTTTGTGAGAAAATCTTTTCTGCCAAAGCTCACTTGATGGGGCACATGAAAAGTCACGGAGATCCGGCTGTTTGTGACATTTGTGGGAAGGAATTCATGTCCCAGAATCATCTACAGCGACACAGGATTATCCACACAGGGGAACGGCCCCATAAGTGTGACATCTGTGGAATGAAATTCATTCGCAAGGAACACCTGAAGAGACATGTGATGACGCACTTGGCAGACAAGTCGGTCATGTGCGGATGTGACATGTGTGGCAAGTTTTTCAGCCGACCTGAGCATTTGCGTCGTCACTATCGCATGCACACTGGGGAACGGCCTTTCAAATGTGACCTTTGTGAGAAAGAATACTCTCGTAAGGATCGCCTCCAACACCACATGAGAAGCCATGAGAAGGAAGTCCGGGATGTGCTGATGAACAGTGCATTCAATATGAATGAGATGGTGGGCCAGACTATGAAACGGTCGTCGTCGGGCGGAGAAGGACAAACAAGCTCCAACTCCAGCATCTCCAGTCAGTCCTCCAATGGTGATGTCAACCAACAACAACAGCAACAACAACAACAGCAACAACAACAGCAACAACAACAGCAACAGCAACAACAACAGCAACAACAACAGCAACAACCTTCCAATCAGTCCTACCCTCAAGTCTCTAGTGCTCAGCAGTTCTCTCACTCCCCGGACATGAGCATGAGTCAAGCTTCCTTGTCATCCAACAACCAGAATCATAATCACAATAACGGCAACAACGGCGAAGCTCCAACCCATGCAGAGCTTGCGGCTGCTTGCAGCAGCCCTGCACTTGCCCAGGCGCCAATCATCACTGCGGAACAAGCTGTTCGGCTGTCACAGAGCATCAATGTGCCCAACTGCAGTCAGGCCCAGATGATGAATAACGCCATCAAGGTCCCATTAGTGTGCTCTTCCCCGGCAACGATCATTGCCCCAGCAATCGCTCTGCAGACCATTGGTCAAGGCCTGCACATGCCTGGTCAGAACATAGGACTTGCTGGTCTTCAGGACCGTCAGCACATGATGCATGGACACTCAATGGACGGGAGCTTAGGTCCAGGTCAGATGTTGAATATGCTGAGGCAGACTCATACGCCTGTTAGCCACTATGGGAACTCTTGTTAAGGAGACCTGTGTTGTTTAGTTAGTGGTGCACATACATCCCCTTGTGGTGCACATGCATCTTCTAGTGGTGCAATGCATCCCCTAGATTCCCAGTAGACTTTAGTAGACCAACATCCGTGGGGGGCAGTGTTAATAGTGACTTGAGACAGTCTAGGCTGGAAGGCATGATCCTTAGTAGATGGCTACCAGAGTCACTGTGAGCCATGCTGAACAGCTTGGCATTGATCATGTTTATGTCGCCAATGACATACAATATGGAGGTGTGAATTGTCATATCTTGTATTAAGCATGTGTGCATTTTTGTTGTCATGGTAACAGTCTCCACATAGTGCTAGATTTTGTTTTGATGATTCAGCAAAGTATCATGGAACTTGTTTCGGTAATTGGCCATGGTTTTGTTTGAATATTTTCGAAGTATTAGGTCTACAGATATCCTGAACTCCAACAATATAAATACGAGACCAAGGAGAGGGTGCCATGTACACCCCAGTTTAGCATTTGAAAATAATATTCTATTTCTGAACTTTTCTGTACTCACTCCCAAGTAGATGCAACAGTTCAGATGGAACCATGGGTAGTGGATGCATGTTACATGTTGGGGCAGGAGTGATCAACTTGTCTCAGTCGCCGGCAGAGGACTGGAACGTGGGATGGCATCTTGTTAAATGTTTTAATATCATGTTTTTTTCTGAAGCTGCTTAAGGCTGTGTAGAGTGGTGTAGGAAATGTCCTATCAGAAATATGCATAGTTTAAATCTGCTTATAAGGTTTATGTGCCAAATGATTTAGTTTTAATCTTCAACTTGCCTGAAAAACTGATGGCGTTGTTTGTAGCCGACAGTGATGCTGGTTGGGCAAGTCTTGTTGTTCTAATAGTGTTCATTTCTTAATATTTGATTTTGCAGATTTTATTAAATTGTTCTGAGCATTGACATGATATATGAGATGAGGTGTCTTCTTAAAAACATAAACATACATAGCAGCACATTTTGCAGTTAGTAATGATATTGGGCCCTTGAGAATTTTCTATGGAAATGTACTTGACACATCAACACATTCAATTATTTTCTTACTTCATGAACCTAAAGATAATAATAGGTTTATTTGATAATGTTGTTGACGACAAGAATTCAAGAAAAGTCATATTTTATTTTGTACATATAAGACCACAGAAAGAAGCTGAGATAAATTTTAAAGCAATGTTTTTCGTTTATGGATCTGTCAACACCAAATTTCACAGCTGTTGGAAACAAATATAAATAATGTAGAGCTGAGTACACTTACTTTCAATTAAGGGTAAGTAGGTTGTTTTTTTCAAAAACAAGTCCCTGCAACTATGTTGAAGAACCAGTGTACATGGTGTAAAGTTAGAGTGGAAAATATTTTATGTAAACTACTATTTTTTTACACTCAGTACCACTGAAAAAGGTCAGGGTCGGCACAAAGAATTAGAGTTGGTTGGGTAATCGCAACCACATCCCTTTATCTAAGGCTATAATGAAGCACATTTTTGCAGTGTTGAAACTTAAAAATGGGTCAATATCGGAAGGGAAATAGCCTGTTTCTTTAATTTTTGTTCTGATTTTTCCTGATCACAAGGCATGTTTAAGAAGACATTTATTTAGTGAAAATAATTTTAAAGTTAATTTTTTAGCAAAGCTATCTAAAAAACAAGTATGGTAATTCTGTACCAACCCTAATAACCATGAAGATTTTAGTGCTTGCACATCCTGCATTTTGAAATCCATTTCTGTATTTTCATTGAAGTAATATGAGCCATGGATTTATATAAGGTACTTTTAGTGTGTCAGTACTTACGTTTAAATGTTGCTGAAGATCAATCATATGTCTATACTAACAATCAAAATAGTTGTGTGAATAGAGACACTTTTCTGCAATATGTTTTGTTTGCCAGTAACTGACTTTATGGTGTGTTAAGTGTTCAGTTGTATGTTTGTTAATATACATTATTCTTTAGCATTTAATTTTTTCGTACACATACCATGTATTTTATGTTGCATGCCCATTTCATAATGTACACTGACCGATCACTCAGCATCACTTGTTAATATCGAAGTCACATTTGCCGACGGGCATGGTTGTGAACCAGCTATAATTATTAGTTAGATTTTTCGTTGTACTTTGTTCTTTTTATCTGTCCGAAAATATTTACTTGATTTTATTTTGTATTTTACAAAACCAAACCAGGGTTTTGAATGATGTACATTTACATAAACACGTCTTATTTCATCATGTATGGACCTTGTTCTGTTTAACTCAAAACTTTATTTGTGTGCACTTTGAAATGAAAACCTATGTCCATCCACTTTTCTTCAGTGCTTTGACTTTCATACCAAAATGTTTAATGATGTGTTTTAGTGGCGTATAAGCAAGGAGTTACCTCCCTTGGACCAGTAACCAACTATCTAGGGCATTTTGAATAGCTTAAAATTGATTGTTTTCTTCTAAATGCTTCGTATATGATAGGATTCCAATATGTGGGCATTATGAGTTCTTTTTTGGTTTATGCTAGGATTATGATATTCTGTATGCATTCTGAAATTCCTAATAAGTTTATGCTTCTGACTTGTATTAAGTTGAAGCTATGAAGGATGTGTTTATTTAAAGTGGATTAGAATTTGAATTTTGACACCAGTAAACTGATTAACCTATGGCATATTAGTGACACTGGTAGATTATTGCTGTTTGGAAGTAAAAGTCCGGAATTATTGGAGTTCTTACATGATGGTAAAACTTAGATGTTATTCACCTGAATTCTTGCAGTCATTACTTTGATACTTCTGACAAATAACACAGACATGAAATGGACACAAATATAACATTTGTAGGTTCATTTTGATCAGCCTTGAAGAGATTTAAAGGTAATTGGTTCTGTCTAAAAATATCCTGATATTTATGAAGTCTCTTTCTGCTTGAATGTTTTTGTGTAAAAAGATATTTTTCTGAAAGTTTGCATGTACTTATTTGCTTAGCCGTAGCCTATAGAAGTAGATATGCATGAATATTGGTAGTATATGTATTAGCCATTGTCCATGTATTTTGAACATATTTATTTTGAATCTGTTTCAGCTGGTTCACAAGGATCTTTCATATTTCCCCTGTTTATGATAGAGAGGTTGTTCGTGTGAATATTATGACAACTTGTTTGAGATCCCAGTTCGTTTCCCCTGTGTTCAGAATTTCAGCAATGTTGCTATGTCCTGGTGAGATGCTGTTTTCATGCATTCTATCATTCATGGAAAGTGCTGCAGACATAAGTGTTTGTTGCACAGGTCTGTGTTCTATGAACATGTTATCATCCACTGTCTAACTTGTTCTATTTATATTTGTATGAACCGAGGGAACATTTCAAGTAGCACTAAAGTTGAGCAGTCATAAACTATCAACATTTTAAGTGATCAAATTATGATTATAATTAATGCCACAAATTAATTATTGTTTCATCCAAATTATCAAAAATGTGAGGCAGGAGACATTTTAGTGTTGTTATTTTTTTTAATTGTTTTTATGAACTCTTTGAGGTTTCTCTGTCTAATTTTTTGATGGATGTGAGCAACATAAAACATGAATGTGTGCTAAAACTGTTTAACTGTACATCTCGGATAGTATTGAAGGAAGCTAACAGTAATTCTGCATATGCAGGTACTAAAGGATAATGAGATTTTGTGAGGAGGGAATGAAGTTTTTATCGCATAAGTTATATTTGACCATTGTTTATTATTCTGTCAAAGTAAAATATTTATTCTCCCCGTGATTTTCAGAGCGAGCAGGTTCCAACACCTACTTGTGTTGAAAAGAAGGATGTCCATGACTCGAACTGCCCTGTATTGATGACTTTGCAATGGATCATAGCTATTAAATATACTGAAAATTTAGATTTAAATTTGTTCATATTGTCTAATGTTCACACAAATGGCACGTGATAATGCTGAAATGTTACAAAGGATGGTGGAAACCAAACTTCTGGCTGGGCATGGTGAGCATGAACTGTGTACTGTTATGTAACTGTAAGAGGTACATGTGTATGGTTGTGTTGACTCCTATGACATCTGGAAACTGGACAGTGAGGTGACTTAAATCAAATAGAAGCCAAGGTAGCAGAGCTTCTGCACATAGACAACCACAGGTTATCTGCCACCAATATCACAAACCTTTGTTAACAAGAGACAGTTTAGCTTGATGTAAATTTTGCAATCCTTTTTTTTACTTTGGCACAAAAAGTTATTTACCTGAAAGAAATATTATTCTATTTATTAATGTGTTGGTTTTATTTGCCTTCTGAAAGTATGAGAGTAAACGATGATTGTTTTGGTTGATGATAGGTTAAGACAACTTTAACTAAGAATACATTTGTGGTGCAAGTTTATGGCTTGTGTTGAACATGCATATATGTACAGGTGCTATACAGAATCTGTTTTATACTGTTGTAGAAAAATATTTTTGTTTAAGTCAGATGTTTTCAAAGAGTATTAATCCTGTTATATCCAGTTCTGATTGAGTCAGTAACAAATGAGTTTTTTACGATGAAAGTCTCTGGTTTAGAAAGACAAATATATCTTAACACAATTCTTACCTGTTTAAGGTTTTATTGATATTGACCAGTTGGTGAACACCAGTATCTGGGCACTGTGGCTTTCAGCGGGTGGATCTGGAACAGCTGAAGCTGTAGAGTAAGGCTACTTTTATTTTTTCATAAGTATCTTTTAAGTACTGTGTATTCAGTTTCCGGCCAGGTAATACATTTTTACTTGTAAGTTTTAATTTCTGTTTGTTTGTACAATTTATTTTATAATGACCACATAAGTATCATAGATTTGGATATTTATTTTGCCAAATGTTAACATTTGAACTGATTTTATATCAATCATTTAAGATTAGATTTTTGATCTAGTGTTCTTTTGCTATGTCTTAGCAGAGAGTTATTTTATGTTTTTCTGTCATGATAGGTATAAAGGTAGCTGAACCTATTCTTTGTCATAACATGAAATCTTCAAATATTTTATTGAAAATTGTATAAAGTTGTCAGGAATTGCGATGAAAGAATAATCAGTTTATTGTGGCATAACTGTAGAAATAGATCTGAGCTGATTATCAGTGATCATCGCAAAGCCATGTTTCTGTGAACAAGTCTTACTTGAGACATAGCTCACTGCCATGACGTATTGCTTTATAGATGTATAATTCAGCTGAGTCAGCTCACTGGCCAGAAGCTTTTATATGTGTGCACCATGGGCAGGTCCCTCCTCCAGCCCTGTGTGTTGTAATTAGTGCCATGTTGGAACCTCAGACATTATCCCTGTGAAATTAAGGTATTCATAAACTAGAATGCATCATAAACGATGTGGGGTTTAAGACATAAATGAAACTTGTCAGTTCAAATTAACAGGAACTTAGTCCCCCTTTAGGGATTTAAACAGATGAAAAGAAAATAGCTTATTTACATAAATTATTTTGAATTTGAAATTTGTCAGTGAATTAAATTTATTTAACAACATGTGTATGAACATTTTTACTTATTTTAAGTAAACATCTGAGCAGGATGTAACATGTCAAATATAAGGAAAAACGATTAAGTTGAAAGTGGAAGTGTTAAAAGTGCAATAAATCGTCTATTTTAAGAAGGTTAGTCTTGAATTTTATCAATGTATTTTGGTATATCCACTACATTCTGTAAGTTTACTTGTAAATAACTGTTCAAAGTCAATATTAGCATGCCTGTCTTGTGTTTACCTGTTGATATATTGTAATAATCCATATATTATTTAGTTGCCGAAACTGCGGTCCACAAAAAACATTGCTTGTTCAACAGCCAAGTGAAACACTGAAAGTCATAATTTGCAAGAATAATATCCAAGTGTGTAGTTGTGTGGGTTGACAACGGTCAGATGGATACAGTTACTTCCTGTATCAGAGTTCTAGTATTACTGAATCTCATGGACATTCACTGTCATGTTTATTGAACTGCAACACGCTTGTACTGGCTGTAGCACTGTATTCCCTTATCTCCATTGCTGTTGTTTCATTGTGTTCATTAATTAAACTACTTAATCACTGTAATATGTTTTCCTGTCTATAATTTCTAATTGAATTTGGTTTAGACTCTTATAGGGTTTTGTTCAATTCATATGGCCAGTCTAACTGTCTTTTTTACACTTTTGTTTTCAAGTGAGGATATGCTTGAGACATAACTGCATTTGCTTTATCAAGAGATTTTTCTCAGTTCAAAGAAATTGAAATTATATATTAATGCTAATATTAATTATACTACTCATCATTTGCTAAGGACCACACTCTTGACTAAAATGACTATTTTGGCCCTTAAATGCTGAGTAGTATATTTTGGTGCACATTAGGATCTGTTGTAAGAATATATTTGTGCTAATGCTTGCATGTACAGGAAACAAGGTTTTTGTGTGTATGCTTTCAATCTGTGTGTGAAACAAAGTTACAACACTCATACATAGCATTAAAATTCAAAGATCCTTATATCTTAATTGTTTTGTTTCACTTAAAATTTTGCTTCACACAATGGCCAATTTGGTAAACTGTCAAACCAATCAATCTCAGCTGTCCCTCTCATCCCAGAGCATTTAACAGTAGATGTACATGTACATACTATTTTTGTAGTCATGCCATTTTCTGTTGAAAAAGGCTGAGGAGTGTCCATCAGTATTTATCATGTTCATATCATGTATATTTCCCATAAAGATTGTATTACAAAGTGTTTTGATGGTGTAAACTGACAACATTTTCGTGTCAATTGTAATACTTAGACAAAACTAACAAGCATGACCACGGACAAATATGTAATATAAACCATGTTTCTATACACTAGGTGTTTTGGTTCTGTTAGGAGAGTATCCGCTGTGTGTGCAGGTCATCAGTCTGATGTAACAAACATGATCATGATAAACAGACAGATCCGTATGTAATAAACATTTTGATGTACATGAGATGTACTTGTGTTTATTCTTGTGATCATTGGTCCAGATGGCCTGTTAAAGCATCACATCACTGAAGCATCATACTTATCTATATGGAGTTGCCTCCCTTAGGGAGGTCAGGATCTTATAATCCTGTATTTCATTCCCTGATTCACCCTCACTATGACCATTGGTTTGTCAGTGTCATACAGGTGTTGGAGGGTTTCACCAAATTATGGCACCTCTAAAATCTGCTCTTTCCAGTTTATACTGACCTAGTAATATTTGAATAACCTTGAAAGTACTTGGGTCAACTCTATTGACACCATCTCATACGCCCGCCATGTCTTATTCTCCCTGCAGTGTTTTATTTAAGAAATAAGCGAGTGGGAGTTGTTTATCGTACAATAATACACTGCATGGAGAATACACCAGGAGGGGCTGATATGTGATTTTATTGTACGATAAACAACGACCTCGAGTCGTTTATATCTTATATCTATGAAATATCAACAATTTTTATATCCTTTTTAAGGATGTCAATGGTTTGTACAACCTTTTAAAACATTAAACAGTATTCAAATAAAGATGACTTCCTGAATACAATCCGTCCTTGGCGAAGTCGGACAACTCCATTTTATGTACAGGGGGGGTTAAGTTTGGTATGCTACAATTTTCACGTCAATTATCTGCAATTTTTCTCCCAATACCGATTGTGACATCTCTCCCAATTTTGGGTGCGATCGTTCGGCCATTGCGTTCATCTGCGTTGTCTAGCTACATCTATGGGGGACAACTCACTCTAGACACTTCCCTCCACAAAATAACGTCGTCCAATATATGACGTCATCAAGTTGCGAGCGCATGTTCGAATCTCCAGACATAACGTCATGATAGAACAATGTTTTATCGTGAAATAAACCGCGCTTCGTTCTTCATTGTTCTTTGCGATTTTTCGCCTAGCTATCTTACATGTATATTGTACGATAAACAATTCCCACTCGTTCATTTCTTAAATAATGTAAGTCACTGTAAAACGGTGAGCCTTTAATTTTGCCCTGAATGCTGTGACGTCCTGTACACCTCTGATGTCGGGCGGGAGAGAGTTCCTTAGCATGGGACCTGCTCTTGAGACACAGCTGACACCAAACTTTGTGGACCGTATTGAGGGTACACAGTAGATGTTGGACACTTGTTCTTGAGGCTTAATTAAGGCCTGAATAAGCTCCTTGAGGAAGAGAGGTGCTGGGCCTGTCTAACTTTGAACACCAACACGAGGATCTGTAACTTTAACGTGTCATTATTGGCTTTCCTCGCACATTAATGTGACATGCTGTGCTAAGGGTGGTGTTAAACCAAATTGTTCCAGGTCAAATGGGGATTAGAAGGCCATATCTGCGCCATCTTCCCGAGACAAGGGAGTTAACTGACTGTAAAAGTCCAGTCTCCACCCTTGCCGAACTAAGCTGGAATATCAGGACTCGACAGTAGCGCCACCAGTGGCTATTACGAGTTGTGTCCCTTCTATACCCTCCTACTGACCGATCAGATTAGACCACTCTTATCACTTGCATTTGCTTCAAACGAAATTGCGGCGCCCAGTTAAGACGATCTGATCTGAACTCCATAATTGCAGCCAAGTTCGGCAAGGGTGGAAACTTTTACAGTCAGTTAACTCCCTTGCATCGGGAAGAAGCATCTCACCAGGGATTACTGGGTAGTTTATCCAGATCCCAGACTTAATATGAAGATCGGATGCTACAAACTGTGGCTAGGTTAATTGTATGCCATCGTTTCCTGATAGCGTCGATCGTTGCTGTAGTATCAAGCACTGCTCTTCGGGGCCCGGAATTATGGCGTGAATCGGTCTTTAGATATCGTGACTATGGACTACTGATTGGTATGGCCTAGATACCTCTATTACTTAGTACTTACTTTCCTAATTTGACCCGTGGAGATGTCGGGTTAGAGTAGGCCCCCAGTTCCTAATGCTTGTCGCAAGGGCCAACTTATATGGATCGAAAGGTTGATGTTTCTCATTGTGTAACGACGATGTTGCTCGTTGCTCATACTAATAACCACTTGTTTGCCTAACCAAGGCTTCATTATATACAGGCCGACGTATTACATGTATGACTAGAATATTGCTTACTTCAGCGTAAAACAACACTCAATTATACACTATGCATTTCTTTAAATTCTATTGGAAGATCCGGGTATTGATGTCATGAGAACGTTCGCTCAGTTTTAATGTAATCAATACCTTGCCTGATGTTACCGAAAAATAGGTTTGTTTGTTGTTTATCGCCGCGCCATATTGCATCTTTATGATGGCGGTCTATACATAATCGAGTCTGGATCAGATTGACATTATGAGCATCGATCTTCGTAATTGGAATACGATGACATGCATCCAAAACGTCAGAACATGTCCCCAGTACCCCGTGTCTCTCTTTTCACGTAGTTTAATGTCAGAACAGGTCCCCAGTACCCCGTGTCTCTCTTTTCACGTAGTTTAATGTCAGAACAGGTCCCCAGTACCCCGTGTCTCTCTTTTCACGTAGTTTAATGTCAGAACAGGTCCCCAGTACCCCGTGTCTCTCTTTTCACGTAGTTTAATGTCAGAACAGGTCCCCAGTACCCCGTGTCTCTCTTTTCACGTAGTTTAATGTCAGAACAGGTCCCCAGTACCCCGTGTCTCTCTTTTCACGTAGTTTAATGTCAGAACAGGTCCCCAGAACCCTTGTCTCTCACCTCACGTAGTTTAATGTCAGAACAGGTCCCCAGAACCCTTGTCTCTCACCTCTCGTAGTTCAATGTCAGAACAGGTCTTAGTACCCAAGTCTCTCTTCCCACGTAGTTTAATGTCAGAACAGATCCCCAGAACCCCTGTCTCTCACCTCACGTAGTTTAATGTCAGAACAGATCCCTAGTACCCTGTGTCTCTCTCTCTCCACACACACGCACGCACGCACGCACGCACGCACTCACACACGCACTCACTGCACCGTGCATCCACATCGCTGTATAAGTGTAATAATTGTCTTGGACGCTACGTTTAAACCGCGTTTCACCCCACCTCACCTCAATGTCAGGCAAGGTCCCCAGTGTTCCGGCCCTCTCTTCCCATGCAGCATATGTTTGTTATCTAAAACCGCGACAATAGTAATCACGGCGACTGTAAATAATGGAATCTGGACCAGAGACATCACTATTTCATATTATGAGGATCACACCACTCCATTGTGGGTACGAGGTCACGCAATCCACCAAGTCACAGAGACATGAAACTTGCCTCTTACGACCTTCATAGGTTACTGGAGACCTATGCGACCCGGAATGCAAACGGGCACTCAAATCGTCTCCTAGTCTCGAGATGCAATTCCGAGTAGGTCTCAGTATCACGTGCTTGTTCACGGACAGAATATGTTCCCTGGACTTAAGGGCAGAGAAGACCTATGCGATGCGGAATACAAACGGGCACTCAAATCGGCTCCTAGTCTCGAGATGCAATTCCGAGTAGGTCTCAGTATCACGTGCTTGTTCACGGACAGAGTATGGTCCCTGGACTTAAGAACAGAGAAGACCCCCACTGTGGTTTGTCTGTCCCAGACACTGCAAGTGACATCAGTGATATGGTGTTCACCCTTAAATCACTCGTCACCACATGTCTTTCCGGATAGGTCGAGCGGCAAAGGTGACCAAACTGAGGTGTTAGATGACTGTGTTTGCTCCTGGGTCAGTCCGCAATTAGTTGACCTACTGGTATTGTTCGGACACCTGACCGGCGTCTAACAGCGGCGATGACATTTACAACTGCTCCTTACCGTGTCTCGTGCGCATCCCTTTGTATAATTACTCACATGTTAGGCACTGCGGGGAAAGTAATTTCCCTGTCTCGCTGATCGATGTGGAGCTGTTTGGCCTCGGTCTGCACTTCCCCTGATTCAGCCTGACAACACTGGACGATGTGTCGCGTTTACTTGCAACCTCTATTATGGACGATTACATAATGTATATATAATATATGTATATATTAATGACATTGTTCACTTTAGTAAATACAATAGGCACAAAGCACCTCCAATGCATTGAGTGGGATGTGGCTGACAGAGGGGTAGTTTGGTCATCGCAATACGTGTTATTCTGATAAATGTGACTAATTCTAGATGTACGTGTTATTCTGATCAACATGACTTATCCTAGATGAACGTGTTATTCTGATCAACATGACTTATCCTAGATGAACGTGTTATTCTGATCAACATGACTTATCCTAGATGAACGTGTTATTCTAATTAACGTGACTAATTCTAGATGTACTTGTTATTCTGATTAACGTGACTTATTCTAGATGAACGTGCTATTCTGATTAACGTGACTTATCCTAGATAAACGTGTTATTCTGATTAACCATGACTTATCCTAAATGAACGTGTTATTCTGATCAACATGACTAATTCTAGATGAACGTGTTATTCTGATTAACGTGACTTATCCTGGATGAACGTGTTATTCTGATTAACATGACTTATCCTAGATGAACGTGTTATTCTGATCAACATGACTTACCCTAGATGAACGTGTTATTCTGAGTAACGTGACTTTTCCTCGATGAACGTGTTATTCTGATCAACATGACTTACCCTAGATGAACGTGTTATTCTGAGTAACGTGACTTTTCCTCGATGAACGTGTTATTCTGATTAACGTACATCCAAGATGAACGTGTTATTCTGATTAACATGACTTATCCTAGATGAACGTGTTATTCTGATCAACATGACTTATCCTAGATGTACGTGTTATTCTGATTAACGTAACATCCAAGATGAACGTGTTATTCTGATTAACATGACTTATCCTAGATGAACGTGTTATTCTGATTAACGTGACTTATCCTAGATGAACGTCTTATTCTGATCAACATGACTTATCCTAGATGGACGTGTTATTCTGATTAACGTGACTTATCCTAGATGAACGTGTTATTCTGATCAACGTGACTAATTCTAGGTGTACTTG